TAAAAAATTAGGTATCCCTACGGACAAACCGTATAAACCAGTAAAAGTAATATTCAATTCGGTTTCATTATCTCTCGAAGGTTGGCGTGTCAATTCTGTAATTGCTAAGCATATGCGAATACGACTGAATATTTACGATTGCTGTTCCTTCAGCTTGTCTATAAACATTTGATTGAATAACGATTTGTGCGGTAATAATGCTATTTTTACCGTGTTACCTACCTATTAATCATCGTAATTTTAATTAGTCCGATTAGAATATTAGTTGTAATGTTGCTGTTTGGCCTTTTAACGAAACGAAACAAGCCTTTATTTGATACAATATAAAGCATCTCTAGGAAGAACTCGATGGGAAAGACAAATATACTCTTGAACGAAAACGCTAAAGATTTTCTTTTCAAAAACTGCAGAGAAGATTTTTTAATTATGTTCTTGACACTGCCCGATCACTTCAAGTTATCATAATGAAGTTATTGTTTCTTCAAGCTTCATCATCAGTGTTCCCACAATCATACGAGTCGAGTATTAAATAACATGAAAGTTTTCATAAGTGTCAAATTATCTCTACCTATTGGTGAAATATTTTTTAGCAAACGTTGTAAATACAACTAAGTTCAAGGTATTACTTGATGTACCTATAAATTAAAAAATATATTTTCGTGTATTTGATTAATTTTGACAACTCCCATTGTAATTACTTCACAAACTAAATATTGTATACTAATCAGTAATTTCTTGAACTTACATAATTCACGAAGCCGATCAATTAGTACATTAAAAATACAAGGAGATTGCGGTTTTTAGAGTTGCAGGCGTCCAACAAATGAAGTAATTACCTATTAAACACCGAGTCATATATCAAAATCGTAAATAGTAGTTTTCCATAGGCCGATCGTTAATGAAATTCGCTCGAGGCCGTTTCCATTTCAAAAATGAAACGTGCATAAAACAATGCCGGCCGAGAGAACGAGATATACGTACGGTACAATAAAAAATGAAAAATGTTAGCGTAGTGAAATTAAACTTGAACTAGATGTTTCCTAACAGGTGGGACCTTAATCGATTCGCGTGAAATAAAACGTTTAATTAACGACGCACTGTTCGGGAAAAAAATATTATTTCGCTTTATTCTATCGTTTATTATGTCTGTATCAATTTGGAAAACTTTAAGATATACTGAATGTGGACAAAAATGTGGCCTCTTGCTGTTCAGTTATTACTACCCATACATGAGATTGTGCATACATTTATTTTACATTCTTTCCTTTAGTACCTTATTACCATTAATATTAAGCGAAAATGTATTTAAATATTATTCACATATTTGCGGAAAACCTCTTTATGAGTTTACCAAGCTTGAACTCAACAATAAATTATTAATAATGTAGAATAAAATGCCGTACACTTCCTCATATTTTATCTTCTAAACTATTGGATAATATCATCAAAAACCATATAATTTACATAAAATTTACTCCAATCCTCTATAATCATAAATATCTTGAAACCAGACTAAAAACATTATATAATTACTAAATAAATAATAAATTTTAACGCAAATTTAACGTACAAAAAACGACATTAAACAATGCAAGTGATAGTAAAGTTTACGAGTAAAAAAAACATAAGGCATGTAAAATAAATATAAAATTAACCCTTTAAGGTTTTGCAATACCTTTCTACCTACCTTGGTTCTTAGTTTACGACTACAAGAAATAGATTGGCATTGAAGGCGAAACTAACTCTTTAACCGCGGTAATTGTGATTGTTGATACAATTAGATAGCAATACATAACGTAAGTAACGCAACTACTGCTGATTGTGTAGATATTTCTTTCGAAATAGTGCGGTCAAAGAAACGTCGCGCAAAAAATTATTTTAATTGCTATTCATCTTGTATGGGTAAACGGTATTTTTGCTAATAGAACTCACGCTAAATAGACTGGATTTCGTAATTTCGCAATCGATCTTGTTGACTTAAAAATATGTTTTATAGTCGCTGTATGGTTGAACATTCATTGCGCCTATTTACTGTAAATTAGATTGGTTTTCAAAATTTATATTGCAAATTGGAATTGTTGATATAACAGGAGTGATTATCATTTCTAATGTAACGTCTATTTCACTCTATTTATCTAGATGCTTTGTAAATGTTAAAAAAAGTCTTGGACTATATTGAAAAAGCGAATAAAATTCACATATTAATTAACGATTGAAAATCGATTTCTTTGTGAAGTAGCGCTTCGCATTCTTCGAATTATTCCAGGCTTTTTTTCACAAAGGATAATGAGTTAAACGTTTGTCTATTAGAAGTGACAAATGCTGCATAGTCATTTACCTTATTTGGCTTCCATTATAAAAACTAACGAAGCAAAATTCTTCTCGATTTTAAAGATAAGCTCGCGTTTCGTTTGAAGATCGTGCATGAAGATTCTGTTTTTTACCTTTCTTGCAGTAGGCATATTTGTAGGCCTTAGATTATCCTATGTTTATTGTTTAATTGATTAAATTCCTAATTCCTGTAAGGAATAAATTGTGAATTTTTGCTAATTAGTTTTTATTTTGCATACTTTACGTAAACTATTCTAATATTACTCTACTCTATTTTTAATTTGTACCTCACCTACCAATTTTCACCCTTCTTTTAAACACAATCGAGTGGAATATTGTGTAGTGAGTGCAAAACAAACAGGAAAATTACGGTCATAAATAAACTTTTATACGAATGCATTGTAAAGAAAACAATGTGGGCGCGATCGAATCAATTCATCGGTGTCAAAGGGCAGATTTCCGTTCCGACGCCCGTCTTTGTCAATTGTGACAATGATTATCTTATTATGGGACTATAATTGCCCCGCAGGACAGAAGAGAAGAGAGTAGCAAATCGTTACGGTCGATAAGATGAATGTATACAATGGGTATTTACCTCAAAAAAACGCAGAATAATTGATATATCGGGCTTAAATTAACTCGATAAATAAAGCATCCAATGGTGTCAAATCGCATGAGCGAGGTGGCCACTCAACTGGACCATTTCTCAAGATTGAACCATTAACAAATTGGATGACCAAATGAGAATTGGATCCATAGAATCAATCGCTATTGTGGTGCTCATAGTGATCATATGAACAGCTTCGAACATGCCATACATAATTGTAATATGTGTACTACACCTGGAGGAAATTTCAGCTCTATATCTTAATTATTCAGTGTTTTATTTAAATACAAAATTGTCCTTATTGAAAAGCCCTTCACTAACCTCTTCGAGTGAACGATCTTTGGAATACATTTTAAATAAAGGGTGTTGAATAAGTACGCATTGTTGTATTATGTCCCGATGGTTTTGAATGTTCAGGCCGCGGTTTCTAATGGGTATTGGCGAATTATCCGTAAAGAAAACCGGCGTTTTGGCTTTGATGTTTTCCGCTAAGACGGTTAACCCACATTTACGATACCAACTCGGTTAATTAACAGACGAGAACGAAATTATGCAAGTGCGAAACGGTTACGTATTATCGAAAATATGTCGATTCTTTCTCCGTTAATTAAAAATCGCGCGGGCGGTTAATGAAGGAATTTATCAGGAACTCCAAATCTGCTGTAAACGATCTAAAATTGGTGGTAAAAAGTGTCGAAGCCGGACCTGCACGGAAACCTCTCGCCCGGCCAATCACGAATTTATTAATTCGAATTAAAAAAACGTACGTCTTCATAAACCGGACAGGTTCGGCCGTTACGCCTTTGCGCGGCGAAAAAAATATATTATTTATTGGTAATTGGTTACCGATCTTATCTTGATAGGTGGGACAACGGACAATCCGGACCAACGGAAATCTAACGATGAAGCCATCCCGATTAGACGATTCGAGTACCAGAAGGAGGCACAATGTTTACAGAGCCTTCAATTCGATTACTAATAATTACAGTTAATTTCTTACAATTTGTGTGAGTGTCAAGAAGATGGGGCACATGTTATGAGTGATTATTGCTCGGCGTTGAAGTTTCATTAAAAAATATCTCCCACAATCTAATTTGATCGCATTTTAATTACCCGCTAAAAGATCTAATCGAAGAGCCGATTGTGTTTTACAGAAGCGAGCTTCAATATTTAGCGATTGTTATCGAAAAAATGGCCCGGGGTCAGATCGACTGATCATCATTCAATAACCTGCTATTCACTACTCGAGCTGATTTTCGAGATAATATTCTTTTTTATTAACCTACACGTTACACTATTTTGTTGCTGGAAAATTAGGCAACATTATCAATAAATTATCTATTTGATATCTAATTGTTAAACAGTAAAATTTTGTTAATCAAATTCTTCCGTGGAACATCTGGCATATGTTTATAACAACTGTTAATGCAGTGTGAATAAATGTATGTGCAGTATGTCAGTTCGTACATTGTTCGATTATCAGAAGCCCGATGCGATAAAACCGGGCATTTTTTCCCAACAACAAATTAGTTTGATTACGCTAGACAGTTATTTATTTTATTACATGCATAATAACTTATTTCCGAGAGACCTCGACAATCATCATTAAACGGAGAATTATTCTGATTTGATTTATTAGCCGTTTCGAGTCTTTATGCCAGTATGAAATAACGACAATTTTTCATTTGCGTCCGTACTAAAAAGACTCGAGTTTCTGTTCTTCCGAAGCAATTAATAATTCGAGGTATTTATAAATAATCGTCCTTAAAATTCGGTCGGATTAAAATTATATCTAATTGGACATCAAAGTCGTTGCCCGACTTTCCCCTACCCGATTATCACAGCATCACGCTGTTTTGAATAATGATTCCCGTTTTGTACGGACCTGTAGATTCGAGCCTCCGGTAAAATCTTAATAGATACCAATCAATTTTAATAATGTCTATTTCATTCTATACGAATAGTTTTTATCTTTAATTTTTTTTTCTATCAAAAGAATACAAAAAACGCTGCCGAGACTTCCGTATGCCGGTATAAACACAAAAATGTTTTGTTGTTCCAGATATTCCTAAATTCAATGTGATAACCCAACAAGACATCAGATTTAATTTAACAGACCCCAGATCTCTGACATCGACCACGGCCCTGCTGGCTTTCCAGAGGATAAAGGACACGTCTTTGTGAGTAACAAGCCCCTTCGACCCTTTAAACTAATTACACTCGACGAATTTCTCCACAGGTCAATCACCAGAAGTTCCCTTTTGGAGTCGACGCCCAGCAAATCAAGTACAAACAGCGCCATCAAGCAGGAATTCGAAGACTCCAAAGCGCCCGAGGTGACGATAAGGAGGAGGAAAATCCACAGGTGCGATGTGGCAGGATGCAATAAGGTTTACACGAAGAGCTCGCACTTGAAGGCGCACAAACGGACTCATACCGGTAGGTTTTCCAGCTCAAATTCGTTCAAAATAATACGAGAGATGCTTGCAAAGTCCAAGGAGCTCAATTCCCAGAACTTTGGAAACATCCCTCGTACATAAAACGGTAGTGACTGATTGATAAAGTAGGGAGTTTTATGTAATCGACGTTTCTGCTTCGGGAAATTTCATCTCCAGGCTCGATTCGACTAAGCGAATAATAATTTAGTAAGGTTGAGTTCCTAGGTCCACACCTGCTGGCTTATTATTCGTCCGCGGGCAGGAAAATAAACGAAAGAAAGGATAACTCAATCGGAAACCTTGAAAGTAGCGCGTAAGCAACACCTTCGAAATCGCAGATTAATGATGTTCGACATAAAGCATTAATGAAATAATGCTACAAAATTTGTTAATTAATCGCCTAAGCGCCGAACGAAATTTAGGCGGTTTCGAAAAAGTCCGTGGGAAAGTGCCTATCCTAATCGATAGGCGAATAGTGCAATCTGTAATAGAAACTTTCTATTTGCACAAAATTTCAAAGGCTCGAAACCCACGTGTTGTGTCCGTAAAGCCCATAAATTTCTTCGGTTTCAAGGAGTATTATTGTGCATGTTGCAGGTGAGAAACCCTATCAATGTTCGTGGGAAGGTTGCACGTGGAAATTCGCGAGGTCCGATGAATTGACGAGGCATTACAGGAAGCACACGGGCCAGAAGCCGTTCAGCTGCAATCTCTGCCAGAGATCGTTCAGCCGGTCCGATCATCTTTCGCTGCACATGAAAAGGCACTAATCAATAGGTAAATTAATATGATAGAGAAATATTCGCGCGGAAAATGCCTGCATTGAAGGTACCGTTTCTTGGGGGGAAGTGGGGTCGTCGAAAATTGTTGTATTTGTAGCTAGATAAATGGCGCATAGTTATGCGTTTTCTGTGGAAATTTACAGTTGGAAGGAAATGTTAGTGATAGGAATCGCGGCTTTTCGCATCGAAATATTTACGTACTAATTAGTTTTTAAAATAATACGTTTATTTTTGAAGTAACGGTCGATTTCATAATGGATACTTTAACTTTAAAGGATCCTTTAAAAATGTAATTGACTTCAAAATCAACTTTAAAAGGATTCTTTAAACTTAAAGTGGGAATTAAAGATTGTACTGTTAAGTTGCAGTTTCTGTCTGTTTTGTGAGATGAATTTCAAATCTTTGAGCTCGTCTGATGAAGAATTTATTTAAATTAGAAGAGCAAAAGTCTATAAGAAAAGAAGGGACTGTTTTCAAAAATATGACGAGATAGAATTTTACCAACGTTTTCGTCTGAAAATAGAAGTTGTTTTGCATAATTTTTTTGTACTTTTGCATTCTTTAATATGCCTCAATTTTTCAATTTCTTACAGAAAACAAAATTCATCTTTTCTACTAAAATTTAAACCTTTTTATTCTTCAAAATTTCAAGCAATCATAGACAAGTTCAATTATATTATTTTGATTTTTTCAATTAGATACCTCTTTTCAAGTTAACCAACGCTTTAAAATAACTTTTACATATCTTTAGTATCTTTTGTAAAAATCTTTTCTTAAAGGAAACCTTTTACATGTACTATTATAAGACCATTTGATATTATATTTTAAAGGTCACTTTATCTTAATGCTTCCTTCTGTTAAAGGATATTTTAACGGTCTATTATGAAATCGGTCCTAATTCTAATGCCTACATAATCCAGCACCACCGCATTTTAGCGAAAATTAAAAATACGTTTTGCCAACACACAATTGTTGAATATTCAACAAGAGTGTCGTGTGGAATCCGAGTTTGCGACACAATATTACAACAATCAACAGTGAATACGAACGGTATTGCCTAGTAGTCCTTAATAGATTTATTGTGCAGCAGAGATTTATGTGAAATTAATGCCGTGACATCTGAATCAATCGGAGGCTGATGTTATGAGAACGTTTCCTCCTTGAAATAACTGCGGCATTTAATGTTCTTAAATCGGTCTTAATGCGCGACCGCTTCGTCTCAAATTCATATTATATAGGCATATATTTCTTTCGGTTAATTATTCCATGGGATTCGATTAACATTCGGAATTTGTTGAGAAATTTCCAGCGTATGTTTCGATGCGAAAAGTTGAATTAAACATTACCTGATGTTTATTATTGCGTAATAATTATCGTTCAAATATCTTTGTGTGATATTTTTTATATGTTTAATGGTGCTACAACTGATTTCTGATGTGGTGCTAACACTCAAAAATTACGGTCGTTTGCTTACATTCCAAATATTTGCAACATTATGTATTTCAATTACAATAATGATTTTTTGTGAAATTTATAAGTAAAAAACCTTACATTTCTTGCTTTTTGTGGAGCTGTGCTGCAAATATTTACGTAGCAAAATCCGAACTAAAAATATCGTTACCTTTATTATTTATTTTGTATAAATGTAGGATATTAATTGAATTGAAGCGAACAAAAGGAAATTAAGATTGTTTGACGTTCCGATCAAAAGAAAAATGCTATTATTTTTTGGATTGTTCGATTGGAACGGTCGATAAAATTTTCTTTTATGTAAATAAATTTCCATTCGAATGAATATGAAATTCGTGTAAATAAAAGTAATGATTTTGTAAATGTTACGAGCATTCCTATTTTTGTAGTTTATTATAAAGTATTTGTTTGGAACAGGTGCCAGTAGAAAGGTCAAAGCTGAAATTTGATATCCAAATGAAAGTATGAAAATTCTCACTTGCGCGATTCAATTACCACTTTAATGAAATACTGCTGTTATAGGTATTAACTCTTAGAAAATTATGAAGGAAAACGTATCGCGTAATTAGAATTTTCATAATTTTTTTGGTGCTATAAACCCCTTTTTTTATTAATAGCACCGCTATTAGTGGATACATTACTATTTTATATTCCAGTGTATACTTTTTGTTAAGTTTTTAGATATACAATATTTTATTAGCGTTAATAAAGCAATATTAAGTAAGTTAGAAAAAAGAATTTACTTTGGTTTTTGTACATTTCTGCTAAAAATAACACGATGTTTGTTAAATTGATTATTAAAACGAAAATGGGACCATTTAAATTATAATTTTGTTGTAAAACTGAAAATTATAACCAACGGTTCGTAATTTTTTTGTTAAATTTGATCTAATTTACAAATAAAATATTTTTGAAAAAAACAGGCATATACAAGACGGAAGAACAGTAATATTTACTCATAATAAAAATTTTAAATAGCTCTCCTGGTCATAGACCGGTAAATATATAGAAGAATGAGGAATAAATATAATCTTTGATCAGATTCTGTTCCGTTGGTTAAATTTCAGGCTGTATAAATTAGAAAATCACTCGTCAATTAAGAAATGTCTTCCTCAAATAATAATCATAAAATAAATTGATGTAATACATATTTTATAGATTAACATTATGCATTGTTGAAATTTAGCAAGTTTTCTATATTATTTATTTTAGCGTAAATTATGTTATATATTATTGCCAGTACTAGGGGCCAGTATATAGTTTAGAAATAGTTTTTAAGTAGTTTTCATTGTATATCTATTATTTTGGATCTCCGATATTTGTACATTTTATTTTTAAAAAACGGTCAATTCTTAGGGCATTTAGATTTAGATAAAATTGTGACAATAAACAAATGTTATATTTTTTATCGATGGAATATATTTATTTATGTTGTATAAGTTGTTTAAAATAAAAATTTTGGAAGGGTAAGGCTGGTGTAATTTTTTTATTTGCGGTGGAGAAACTAATAAATTCAATATGTATTTTCATCGATATAAAAAAAATCGATAACTTACAATATATAAAAATCATTCGGACAAAAATATCAAGTTAATTCTTTCTTAAATACTGATAGCAAAAATATAGACTCTCATTTAACAAAAAATTAGAATTCATCAAACAAAAAATCAGTATCAATTTCTTTGAGCATATCCTTAATAATTTCCGAATCTTTATTTTTCTCATTTTTCTCATCAGAACAATTCGAAGTTATCACATTAATTTTGTCATTTCTCTCATTATCGCAACGGGTTCTCGGAAAATTACTCAACGAATTAATACGTGATAAATTGACCTTATTCGCAGAATCATTGCGATTAATAATATTTTTCAACCCACTATTGGAGCGATTAAACCTATTTATTGATGATGAACTTATATTTTTCTCTATTAACGATTTAGTTGTTGTTTTTGACTGTATTTTATTCTTCGATGAATTCAAAACGTTCATTTCATAGTCAGCAGCCTCTTTTCTAATATTCTCCGCACAACACTCGTGAAGTACAATTTTTTCTACCTTATCTTTTTCGCATGACTCTTTAAACTTTTTACGATGGTAAATAACTAGTAAAGTATCCGAGGTTATATTCAAACAGCACCTACCTACGGTAGTTAGGCTCACGATAGGCTTCAAAACGACTACCGAACCGTTCCTCAAATAATCAGAGTTCGTGTTGTAACAACTATTTATAATTGCGGCATCTATTTCTCCTAAAATAAGATATTGTAATATATAAGAAACTTTGAAGCACCCGAGCATACCTGTGGCATCCTTAAGTGTGACATCTACATACTGGGTCCTACAGCCAAGTGTAACATTATCGATTTTCTCGATGACTGCAGCCAGGAAAGGCATTCGGTCGACATCCGTGCAGTGGTAATTTTCCTTTATCCAGCCAATGGTGTATTTCTCGTACAGCTGCTGTCCGTTGGGAGTGCAAAAATCCGCTTCCATTATCTTCCATGGTTCGTCAGCCACTATCGAAGAAGACGAAAACCCAGCCGGTCCTGGAAAGTTTCCTGTGACAGTATTTGTGCTAGGCGGGGAAGTATGGTTTCCCGTTTCGGGCACTCTTATTCCCGTTACTACCTCATTATCTAGTTTAATTTTCTTTGGGAGGTTCGCAGGAGGCGCGTCTTCTCGGCGCTTTTCCGATTTCTGTTTTTGTGTGCTGTTGAAAATCGGAGCAAACGAATCATCCAAATCGAAATCCGCCTACAATACGAATTGATATGTTCTTAGATAATAATAAAAGTGTCCTTAGTTTACTTACACAATCGAAATTGATGTCGCTATCGAATATTTTCTTATTCATTTGTATTTACTTCTTTTTAAAAATCTAAATCAATTCATAACGACTTCTCAATTTGTCAAAATTGAATTTTTAGGTTAGTAAATACTTCTTTTTTTTTTGACTTGTCATTGGCCTTTTACTAATGGTTACGTATACGTATTCTATTGAATACTTCAATAAAAGTTACGAAAAAATATCCTTACATTATTTATTTAAAAATATAAATGAAACATTAAACGATCCAAAAAAAAATAAACAATCGAGAAGTATTAATTTCCGTTTCCAATTTTTTCGATTTCATCAGAATCTTCCGCATCGAGTAGTTGAATTTTTTTACCAAAGTGATTTTCGATAGCTCTGCAAATGTTCATAGTTTCTTCGGAATCTATCAGATTTATAGCGATACCGCTTTTGCCGAATCTTCCCGTCCTTCCGATTCTATGAAGGTAAGTCTCACAGTCGGGTTTACCGTTCAGTACGGGTAAATCAAAATTAACCACTATCGTGACCTGTTCGACGTCGATCCCGCGCGATAGAACGTTAGTAGTGATTAAAACCTTCTCCTTTCCTTCTCTAAACCTGTCTAAAACGCTGATTCTTTGATCGACTGTGAGATCTCCAGATAGTACAGCTACTGCGTGACCGTCCTCTGACATTTTGGCCGACAGCCAGGCGGCGGTTTTCCTCGTTTGACAGAATATTATAGCTTGCCCGATACCTACTGTACCATAGATATTTGTAATGGCATGGTACTTATCACTCTGATTTTTGCATCTACAAGAAATTAACACAATAGTTATCAATAATAAATGAAGTAGGAAGAACTGACCTAACGTAATATTGTCTGATGTTATCCAAACTTTCTTCTTCCCTTTTCAATCTAATTATAATCGGATTTTTGACGATGTGTTCAGCGAAACCCATCACTTCTTGATCGTAAGTCGCCGAGAAAAACATCATTTGACAATTATTCTGGTCTAAATTCTTGTGAATCCTTACACATTGGTCTTGGTGGCCTTGTATCGAGATCATTACATCGGCTTCGTCAAGCACAAACACCGAAAGTTTCTTGAGATCGAAGAATCTGAATTTTATTCCCCAATCCAACACCTTCCCCGGCGTACCGATTATGATGTGTTCCGTCAACTTGGTGTCTCTCGGTACTTGCTCACCGCTTACGGCGAATTTCATTTCGATTTCCGGACAGAACTTGGCCATATGGGCAGCAGCCTTGAAAAAAATCGAGTACTTTAATCGAGAGATTTTCTCTAAAATATTTATGACTGTACCTCTCCTGTTTGTATGGCCAGTTCGTATGTAGGCGAAAGACATAATACTTGAGGATATTTCTTGGTAACATCTACTCGAGACAACATGGCAAGTACAAATGCAGCTGTTTTGCCCGTTCCGGATTGAGATTGTGCAATCAAATTTTGAGGAGGATCGGCTAATAGAGCGGGTAGAGTGGTCTCTTGAATTTTAGACGGTGCGTTAAATCCCATTTCATAAACACCTATAAATTAGTTTACTTTCAGATAGTGATTGCAGAAAAAAATAGATATAAATTTCTTTTGGTTAATAGTTTTAAATGTGATTTACCTTTCAAAAGATTGGCATTTAAATCCAATGCTTCGAAAGTTTTAATGGAATAGAGCGGGGACTTGGGGTCTTGCCTCTGAATCTCGATATCATTCTTGTTTTCGACCAAACCCTTTCTTATGATTTTGGCCAACAAAGATGCTTCTGCTAAGTTGGATTTATCGGGATCCGCTTCATTGTTAACAGTTTCGTCGGTTTTGGTTATTTCAACGGCTCCTATCTGTAAAAAACGTTTGTTCAGTGGTAGCGATGCTTGATCAATATTATACAGCAGTTGTGTAAAACTGCATAAATACCTTTTTTTCGGTCTCCGAAACGTATCTAGCCCAATCAGCTTGTTCAGACATTTTTAATAATTGTTACTATTATAAATGACTAGCCTATTATAGAATAATAGAATTAAAAAGTTAGAAAATTTTGAAATCTACCAATATGACAGCGCCAAGTGCAAAATACAGCGCCAAGCAAAAAACGAAACAAACGTTTCCGTCAATGTCAATGTCAAGTGTCAATTGCCAACAGAAAGAAATTTTCCCCAAAGCACTTTTTTAGAAGACTGCGGCTAATGTGTTTATAAGAAGTTAAAAAGGAACAAAAACGTGAGACTTTTGCCTACTATAATTCTTTATTAGCGTAATTTTTCATTTATTAACTGAATAAACGTAATATCAGTGACCAATCTTCCATTGCGCAGTGCTGTTTCTTGACTTGCGCATAAAGGAAGTGCCCGTTGACAGAAGGAAAACTTCAATCACGATCTAGTTAGTCAAATTTAGTCTATCTTCTTGCTTGTGGAAGTTGGACCATGTTGGGCGCAGTAGCAAGAGTAAGTTCCAGCCTTTTGGCTGGAAAATCAATCGAAAAAGTTGGTGCCGAATCCCTGAAAGTTATCTCCTCTTACAACGTACAAAGTAAGTAACTTATTTCTTATGTAAAAAATACATTTTTCATCGTATCGATCATGGCCGGTTCGCTGATTATCTACCACGAAAATCCCAGATTTCACCCACAATATTGATCGGTTTTAGGTAGAGAATCATGCAACTCGAATTTCGGCCTAATATCGCACTTCTATATCGTTTTTTGAAGTATTTAAGTCGAAGATTACATAACTGTTGGCATATCTACGTTCGCCATTTTGGAACTTACGTAAACTTAAACTCTCGATCTAAAAGGTTATGTCGTTTCAGAAAGGGATTTCGCTGCCAAAGCGGCCGCCGCGAAGGTCCAAGGAAAGGTCGTCGCCGTAATCGGTGCCGTCGTCGACGTCCAATTCGACGATGAATTACCGCCCATCCTAAATGCCTTAGAGGTGCAGAACAGGCAGCCGAGGCTAGTCCTCGAGGTAAACATCTCCCCAAAACCGCCCTTTTGCCGGGTTAGTCACCGAACGTTTGTTGTTAGGTCGCCCAGCACTTGGGAGAGAACACCGTACGTACCATTGCTATGGACGGTACGGAAGGTCTCGTCCGTGGCCAACAAGTCAACGACACCGGGTACCCCATTCGTATTCCGGTAGGAGAAGCCACTTTGGGTAGGATCATGAACGTTATTGGCGAACCCATCGACGAGAGAGGTCCCATTGATACCGATAAGAGGGCCTCGATCCACGCTGAAGCTCCTGAATTCGTTGACATGAGTGTCGAACAGGAGATTCTCGTCACTGGAATTAAGGTAATACAGCTATTTTTAATATTAAGAATTTATTAATTTATTACTATTTGTTACTTGTAGGTAGTAGATCTTCTGGCCCCCTACGCAAAGGGAGGTAAAATTGGTTTGTTTGGAGGTGCCGGTGTAGGAAAAACTGTATTGATTATGGAGCTGATTAACAACGTAGCCAAAGCCCACGGAGGTTACTCTGTATTTGCTGGTGTAGGAGAACGTACTCGTGAAGGTAATAAACTACAAATTTTTATTAATTCACTTTTATATAAAATATTGTTTGCATTTAGGAAACGATTTGTACCACGAAATGATAGAGTCTGGTGTAATTTCCTTGAAGGATAAGACATCGAAGGTAGCTCTCGTGTACGGTCAAATGAACGAGCCCCCAGGCGCTCGTGCCCGTGTAGCTTTGACCGGATTAACTGTAGCCGAATATTTCCGTGATCAAGAGGGACAAGATGTGTTGCTTTTCATCGACAACATTTTCAGGTAATTATAAATGAACGAAACGATTAATTAGATTTTAAATATATCATTCTGTTTAGATTCACCCAAGCCGGTTCCGAAGTATCTGCTCTGTTGGGTCGTATCCCATCAGCCGTAGGTTACCAACCGACTTTGGCCACCGATATGGGTAGTATGCAGGAGCGTATTACCACTACCAAAAAGGGTTCCATTACCTCTGTACAGGCTATCTATGTACCGGCTGATGACTTGACGGATCCCGCTCCTGCTACCACATTCGCTCACTTGGACGCCACCACTGTATTGTCCCGTGCTATTGCTGAGTTGGGTATCTACCCGGCCGTAGATCCTTTGGATTCTACCTCGCGTATTATGGACCCTAACATCATTGGTGCCGAGCATTACAAGGTAGCTCGTGACGTGCAGAAGATTTTGCAAGATTACAAATCTTTGCAGGTTAGTTATAATTTATTCTAATTTTATTATGGATGCGTATTGCAAGGAGAATTACAGTTTACTTATTTAATTTGTTGTGCTGATCAGACACCTTGCAAAAGTAAATTATTGAAATGGTTTTAAACTGTTTGAAATTTATTATCAAATAGACTTCGTTTCAATAGAACATGATTAATTTAAGAAGTTGCAATTTTTTTTTTGTTATTAATGTATGTAAAATTGCAAATAATGTAACATCTTTTTCTTAATTACAGGATATTATTGCTATTTTGGGTATGGATGAATTGTCTGAAGATGACAAGCTAACTGTCGCCCGTGCTCGAAAAATCCAACGTTTCTTGTCGCAGCCTTTCCAAGTTGCTGAAGTTTTCACCGGTCATGCTGGAAAGCTCGTACCTCTTGCGGAAACCATTAAGGTAAAAGTGTTAGAAATTTTAAAACTTGTAAGAGTCTAATTATTTTGTATTTTACAGGGATTCCAAAAGATCCTCTCTGGTGAATTGGATCATTTGCCAGAAGTAGCTTTCTACATGGTTGGACCCATCGAAGAGGTTGTTCAAAAGGCGGAGAAATTAGCTGAATCCACATAAAAATGTTGAGTTTTATATATTTATTTCGCATTTGTTCCATCAGTAAAATACAGAGAAGACATTATACATACATACAGCATGTTTATACTCCACAATAGCCAGAAATTTTTATATAATTTGTTCTATCCTGTACTCCATCAAGGGATTTATTTGTTGTAAGTACTTTTAATTATTAAAATAAAATAGATCTAAAAATTCGTGATTGTTTTATTTGCTCATAAGCAAGTGATTAACGAAATTTATTTTGGTTTAAATCTGTTATATTTCGATTGACATATCGGCGTAGGCGGTTGTTGCTTTGCCATATTTTTCATATGTGTTGCATTCTCGCGCCATTCGGCCTCCAATCTCACCCATACACCCCCTGAAATTTAAATAGTTATAAATTGGAATTGTAAATATGTGTAGAGAGGAACTTACCTACGGGCGTTAAATTTTTAGAAACGCTTTTACCTCTGCTTAAATTTTCGTTACTAGCGTTTTTATTCAGAAATTCCGTGATTTCTCTAAGAGTTTTTTCTTCATAAGCACGTTGGATATCCTGATTGCTCCTCGCCGATAAATTGTGTTGCCACAAACTCGTTCCCAATTTCCTCTTTTGCTTGCGCCTTTTGATAAGCTATCGCGAAAAAAATGGATACAGGATAAAACGGAAGCTGAATTTATTTCAAAGTATCGTATAAAAGTACCTTCCTTCTCGGTCGAGGATTGCTCTCAGCGCTCCCTTCAGATCCGGACGATATCGACGAAGGCGATTCCTCTTCGGTCAATTCTTCTGAACTTTCCTCGGAATTGGGGCATTCGTCAGCGTTTCGATTACTGAAATTCCCTAACAAACCGAGCTTCGGTCGAGGCGGTATGATTTCTATACCATCCCACCAAAATACTTCTTTACACACGAATTTCTTATCTGTCGAATTCGGATCTACAAATTACATTTACGATATAATTTACTGCTATTTTCTCCAATCTCTAAAAAGAAGAGAAGCCACAAAAATACTCGCAATGTTTGCTTTAAGATTTTTATTGTTATATTAATAAAAAAATTAACAATTTTATATACTATAAACAACGTAAATGCGTTCAATAATTTTCAGTTTTTATATCATTTAAACCTAATTCTTCGTTTTGTTCGAAACTTCTCTCGTAATGAACTATCCTTAAACGATCATCTACTTGATCATCATGATCGTTCATCGTTTGAACGTAACTGTTGCCGGCTGGATCGTCTAAAATTAGAGTAACAACCATTTCCCCGGCTAGAATGCTGTCGAATTTCTTCAAGAAATCCCCAAACACATCCTTAGATTTCGGATCGACTGAATCGCCGAACATGTGGGAATGATTCGGATCACTGAGCTGTTCTTTAATCGCTACCACAAGCCCTTCGACTGTAGTAAATCTCCCTCCTAAAGCGTGGGGCCCGACTTCCAGGTCCAGTTGGGGTATACTCAAACTGCAGGTCTCCGATTTCAGAATGTCCCTCGAAAAGTCCTCCTTGCCCTTAATGTCTACTTCTATTTTAAGGCCTTTCGGTTCTATGCCACCACCCGATTTGACTTCGTTGGTTTTGTGGCCGCATACGTCACATGTCGTGGCCATTATAACTACTTCTTTGAAATGCGGAATGTTGGTCATTTTCATGTTTGTCTTGCAAGGGGAACTGCAGGATGGGCAATTCGTGGGAAACTGCAAAACTTCTCCCTCTAAATCTTCCAAAGTGAATTCGCCTTCTTGAATAGGCTGTAATATACCGGTTTCTTCTTCGTCGTTAATTTCGGATTGAGTGAATAAGCCCAGTTCGTGATTTTGATCTTTGTTTCTAGTAAAATAGACCATGTTACAATCGTTATCTACCCTAGGGGCCTTGGGATTTTCCACGAAACTGTTGCCTGAGATATCCTCTAAAATTATTGTAAAAGGCTGTTCAACATCTTTCAGTTCCTTCAATTTCGTAATAAATTCGTCGATTTTCTCAGCAGCTTCAGGGTGTTGGATTCTTCGAAGCGGTTGATCCTGCTCTAAGCCTCTCATACTTCTATCCAATATCCCTTCGACTGTCGTAACTTCCCCCTTTTGACTTTTTGAAGGTATCTCAAAATCCAAATCAACAATTTTTACGCTCGTGTAATCGCTCTTTACCACCTGCCTATTTAGGTCTTCTTTTGAAGACACTTTTAAAGTGATTTTTACTCCTTTCTCGTCGACTGCACCTCCCGATTGTATTTCGTTATTTTGGTAACCGCAATGCTCGCACGTAAAAGACATTACCACGACTTCTTTAAAAAAGGGTATTTTCGTAAGCAATATTCTCGTCATACCGTTTTCATGGCAATTCATACATAATGACTCGATTTCCGTCGTTTCTGGTTCGGGATCGTCGGCGTTCAGATCTCTAAATAGAGGTTTTGTTGCACCCATAGCGAAATGTTTATTTGCTCTTCTATTAGCTGGTTCCAATAAGAATAACTTGAATACAATTAAATGTACTGATTTTATTCGTAATTTAAATGTAAAGGACTGCTGAAATCACATTATTGGAAAATCGTGACACATGAGTTAGGTTAAACTCTTCTTCTTTTTTTAGGATGACAGTTAAAGTCAAAAATTGACATGTCCAATTTGAGTAAATGTCAAATATTTGAGGTTATAATTTTGTTTAATCAATAGCGAAATTGAACAAATCCAAATAATGAATAATAAGTTTTTCCTTTAAATATTTATCGTTATTAAAACTATCGGCATCAATCTTGAGTTATATAAGTGAATAAAATAGAAATCTAATAGGAAATGGCACCGCCCCCAATAGTAACAGGTTTGTCTCCGAACGAAGGTCCCCCGGGAACGAGAATCAAAATCCGGGGGGAAAATTTCGGCTCCCAACCTAGCGACCTGACAGGACTCACAATTTGTGGTATGGATTGCCTGTTAACAGCAGAATGGAAATCCCCAAACAAAATCATAGCTATATCAGGTAAGATTATCCTCACATTCACCCCGTTCGAAATCTTATAAAAGCATTCTAATCAGGTCCCGTAAAGGGTAAAGGAGACGTTATTGTAACTACCAAATATGGGGGAACGGGCACTTGCAATGTAACCTTCAGGGGATACCATCTGGCCACAATCGGCCCCATGAAGGAAAGCGCTGTATGGGTAGAAGAAACCCCCATGTACTCCTGGGGTCGTCACTCTTTAAGCCCGAGCAGCTTCCAACAAGAAGATCCCCTCGGCCTCTCAGTGGAAGAAACGGAAAATAAAATAAGCGAAGAAGACTTGCAAAACTATTTTCCAGGTAACTCCTTCCAAATCTCATTTTGCTTGTAATTTAATTTGGATATTAACAGGTAAATGCGGTGATATCGGTAGCCCTAATTTCTCGCCAGCTTGGTTTCTCCTGGAAAACCACCATGCTACGAGCTTCAACGATATGAAAGCCGGTTTGATTTACCTTATTAGAAAAGTACAGCACCAAAAAGTCGGCCAACTTTCCTTTCTAAAAGCGAATTTAAACAGTGTAATCGATCAAATCGACACTTTAACTAATTTACGTGAAAAATACGACAAAGATTTGTCGGTATTCGGCAGTACGCCCACCATTAAATTGGAACGAGCCATCAAAGAGTCGGAAAGAGAAGCGAGGAAATTATTCGATGACGTTTTAGCTAGGAAAGATCGAGCGGAAAAAACGAGAAACGCTTTAAACGTATTACAAAGATACAAATTTCTGTTCTGTCTACCGTGCGTTATAGAACGGAACATAAAAAAAGGAGAATACGACATCGTCATAAACGATTACATGCGGGTGAAAAACTTATTCGACAAAACCGAAGTGCCCATTTTCAGGGAGGCCCTAAACGAAGTGGAAAAACGCATAGTGGACTTGCAAACCAAGTTGCACGTTGACCTGCAATCCATGCCCGTCACGGTCGAGCAACAGAAGCGATTGATTCGCTATCTAATAAGCCTCGATTATCCGCAAGACGCGGCTTGGGACGCCATTAAGAGCCGATGGGAGCACATTACAAAGAGATTCAAGGAAATATACAACTTCCACAAGACCAACGACAAATCGGAGAGCGCCAAGAAACAAAACTCCGCGTCTAAATACTCTAAAACCCAAATCGAAATCATCTCTGTGCCGGCCTGCATCAATTTCATCGATGAAATATGCGCTGTTACCTCCGAACTGTTTCCAGATTTCTGGAAGATCGGCCAAGCCTACTTCTCCGGCGAACTTCAAATTAAAATCGAAGCCGGAAGACAGGTGTGTATTTAATTTAATATTCCTTCGAGCGTTCCTAAGTAATTATATTTTTAGGTGGAGTATAAGCACATGGTATTGACAGCGATCGAAACCTTCTCGAAATACGTCCGAGCCAGCATTATACCAAACACATTGGACAAATCCGAGCGCGCCCAGTACGGCTCTTTAAGCAGTCTGGAACGCGACGAAGTCGCCCTGTATCTTCCGGAACTCCTGCGCTCCGTTCGATCGACCTACTCCACGCTCATTCAACTGGATTTGCCCAACGAAGCGTTGGATATAATCGGCGGTTTATTGGTCGATTTGCGGATCCACTGCATGAGCATTCTCTTCCAGCAAACCACCGAGCAAATCAAGCAGCTCACCGAGAACTGGAAGATCAGCTTCAGCGGCAAATACGCGGGCGTCACGGATCTGCCTTTGAAGTTTCTGATGCTCGTCGAGGACGTTATTCAAATAGTGAAGGAGTCCGCTCTGTCGGCCGAACAACGGGAGAGTTCTTTGTTAGATAACGCGTCCGCTCAAAAGGAACTTGAAAGGCAAGTCGATAATATATTGTCGGCTTTCTATACGGTGCTGAATAATCTATCATCGAATGAGGATTACGATGATTGCGATAATAATTCACCGGTCGTTTCGCAACTAATCGGAACACCCGTGGGTACTCACAAAACGAGCGGGGCTCAAGACATCCCGACGTGGGAACACAGACTGCTCATAACGATGTCAAATTGCATATTCACCAAAAATACCATACTAAACGATGTTTCGCAGAAATTCAAAGAAACGGGCTTCACTTCGATAGACGCTCCTATAAAAACCAACGGAAACAAACTCGAAATGTTGGAGAAATTAATTTTGGACAAGTATTTGGAACAGAAGTCCGATCCTTTAGTGGGCACGATCGAACCTTCCATGTACTTGGGACGCTTCGATTGGGACATAAACGTTCTACCCACAGACATTCGACCCTACGCCAAGGAGTGCATAAACAACCTCATCAACGTGCATTCGGAAGTCAATAACATTTCCACGGGCCTTCTAAACAGCATATTGGTGAAGATAGTGGAGACCATCGCCGAAGAATTGTACAGGTTAATGTCGTGCGTACAGAAATTCAGCAAAGAGGGCGCGCAACAGGCCAGGATCGACATCGAAGCCTTGCAGGATGTATTTCAGGATTATACTTCGGACAACGCGCAAGGTTATTTCAAAGAGGCTCTAGCGCACGTGCCTAACTTAGACGGGGCCCAAATGGCCTTGGTTCAAGACATTTTGAAGCAATGTAAAGCTAAAATGAAGACGCAAATTTTGTGTTTAAAGAAGCGTTGAAATTTTGAGATTTAGAGCAAGCTTAAACTTATACCGTAACTATTATTAATATAGAATTATTGTTATTTAAAATAGGACGAATTTTGTTAAACTTGTATATTATATATATATTTTTTATGCATAAACTTTGGAAGTTTACTTACCCCTCGCCACTAATCTGGTCAATTTCTCGGGAAACAGAAGTTGGGGAGGCTCCTCTTCTATTAAATGCTTGTACGTCTCCAACATGGAAAATATCGCGGAATCTTTTACGTCCTCATTGTAAACCTAAATTATACAGTGTGTTTCATGATGACATGCTAATATTTAAAGGGGGGTGATTCTTGGGCCTATTTTAAGAAAAAAAACTATATGAACATATCCTATATCTCGAAAAAGAAGCATTTCCGGACATGTTTATATAGCAAAATATCATTATTTCTTCATGCAGAATCACCCCCTCAAGTTTGTCGCACTTATTAATTAACACCCTGTATATTCTCATTAGTTACAGCCGTTATAGTTTCGTACAGTTCCCCTTTACTCACCAAGTGCTGTCTGAAATGGCAGCCGTTAAAGTTTTCGAGCAACTGAAATTTGTAGGCCCTTTCCCCGCAACACGGGTACCTTCCGATCGGCAGGTGCGCCCTTTGGGCGTCTATCGTGAAGAATTGCGCCGCGTCCGGATGGAATCGACACCAGCCGATCTGATTGGCGGGGAAGTACCGCTTGCACACGTTGCAAAAGAGGAAATGAGCGTCGCCCCACAGCCGCCAGTACACTTTGCGCCACGTTTTCAGTTTCTTGTACAGTTTCAGGATGTAAGCGCTGATGTTCCAATTCGGATCTCTGTAATAATATTTACAATTAGCTCCAAGGTTGCTTACATAAGGCTTTAAAACACTTCAAAGATGTGATGTGAAGTTGTTTTGTACTGGCCGAATAATCCAGGCAGTTGAGTCCAAGGATTGTACGATTTATTAAATTCTTACTTTACGTGCAAACTGAGAATAGATCCGTCAGGTTGCAGTCTCATGCACTGCGGTAGGCAAGGAATCATCGAAGCGACTTTAGGCGTGATGAGCAATTGGCATTTCTCGCATTTGAACACTCTCGCTAAGGAGCACCAATGGCCCCTGATGATCTCCGGCTCGGGCTCCGCCAGCGATTGGATCAGCTTCGTAAATAAGCGGGATTGAATCTTGTCCTTTTTGTCTTTGATGGCTTCGATTTCGACGTTTGTATACATCGCGGCCAATCTGTAGCAGTAAAATATATACCGGCACATATCATATAATTCAGAATTAGCTGAATAGTCCAGTGATTTGAGGCAATTTTACCTTGTAACTATAGCGTCGTTTAGACAGGATAGATTCGTAGTGGTTCTCAAAATTTCGGTCATGTGCTCATGGCAAAATCGCAGGCAATCGTCCAGCAAAGGTTCCATTTGTAGAAAAGCTGCAGAAACTAGAATGGGGACGACTAGCTGGCAATCCAATTTGGGCCAATCCGATTCCTGCAAGGTGTCTTTCCTCACCCATTCCATCAGCCATTCGAATATGCCGATGTCGCAATGCACCGATATATCCATGTCTTCCAAACGCTGACCTGTAAAAGCCATTATAAAGCGCATTAAAGAGCGTTTTATTCGGAAAATCGAGCGTTTTATTCGGAAAATCGAGCGTTTTACCTTGCGTTACTTCCGCGAAATACCCCATTTTGCTAACGAGCAAAGATTGGTTGCAATAGAACGTCTTCTTGGCGTTTTTCACTTCATCGCAAACGTGAATCTCTATCTCGGACCTGCCGAATATGAAAGGCATTTAGGTAATTTAGCAGATAATTCTACTCTCGTATACTCTAATTTGTTCTACTCTATACATACTGCGATTTAATGGCGATGTTTTTTATGTCCGGTTCGCTTGCCCTTTTCTTTGCCAATTTTTCGTTTTGAACTACAGAATTGGTTGAAGCAGAAGACAGTTTTTCAGTACCTACAATAATACAAATATAATAGAAAATTACGTTGTTAAAATGGATCAAAATCAAAGAATGACCACCGTGAATCCCATAATTATATGACAACCATGGTTAGTACAAAGTGGTCTTTTACACTTCGTGTAGGTATTTACTACAAATATACATAAAAAATATCCCAAGTAGACACTGTATTAACATGTCACTTAAGCAGTTTACCTGTAAGTTTGATTTTAACTATAGATTTCTAAAGGTTTCTTACCGTTTAGTTTGATAGAAGCGAGGCTTTTGGTCTTCGATGGCGTCGATTGCACTAAATAAGGAATCACAGAATCGAGCAATCCTTCAGATACGATGTCGCTTAATCTCCTTTTCAAAGGCTCAGCATCGCATATGTTGTTAGTAGCAATCGAAGAGGCGCTTTTTCGTTTTATCACGATCTCTAAAAACGGTTTGAATGGAGGAATATACACAGTGACAAATAAGTACCCGGAAAATTGGAATAAAACGCAAAATTCCTTATCTTCTTTAATGGTGGCAATTTGAGTTTCGGGAACAAAAATATGTCAACAAGGCAAGTTTTTGGCAATCTCCCGACTGTCTTTAAAAATTTTGTACCATTCGTAAATATGGGTTTTCGACAAAACAGTCACCTTAAGCATTTGAAGGGTACAGGGGAAGAACGACAATAGTCCATCTAAAAGATTAAATCTAAAAAATCTAAAATATAAGTTTCTAAGAGATCTAAAAAATTAAAATATAAGTTTACCTACTCGTTAGAAAGTGAAATTAAAAGTATCTTTTAGCTGTTGTTTTGCGGACTTGAGCAATTTTTACTATTTAACGATTTAATTATCTGATAGTAACTACAAAATACCATAATAATACACTGTGACTTATTAGTTTTGCAAAAAATTGACTATTGTCATTTTCCCCTGTAGCATTCATTTGCATCGATTCAGCCCACGAAATTCCGTTCTAAACTCAAAATATGAGACAAACTATTTGTTCATTATTTCCGTCCATTGCCAAAAGTCGCAGATCACTACTGAGATTAACTGATTCAATCAACGGCTACAACCAAACTGATTGAGAAATCTCTCTATTTTTTTGGATGCTAATTAAGAACAGTGTTACCTACACACAGAAACTTGAAATAGCTAATAATATTAAGTGCAGGTAATTTAAATCAGAATTTTTAGATACTTATATGTCAGAGAACACATTTACTATGTTGTGTGCTTGAATTTTAGATACCTTTTTTTTCTTCAGGTGGTTTTTCCTGGACTATATCGGGCAAGGTTTGTATACTGATGCTGTTTTGGTTCAACAAAAGCAGGGTTTCTTTTCTTTTCAGCCATTCGACGGCCTCGGTCATGCCGTTTGCGGTGAGAACGTTTTCAATGCTATCTTGAACCTAATACAAATATTTGTAACTTTGTTAAATTAGGGATTAACAAAAATGTTGTTGAACTGTTACCTGATAAGCGACTTTCAGGAAGTTCAAGAACTCTTTAATGGAAATTTGCGAAGCAGCGTCATCCTGTTTTTTCGATGGCTTGGAGTCTTTTTGGTACAGCTTTAATTCCTTGGATTGTGTCAAAGAATCCGTGCTGGATCCCATCGATAATCCATCGTCCAAATTCGACGGTTTCGCGTCCAAAGAAGTGTCCGTTTTGGAATAAAAATATATAGTGTCCAAGGGCGTCTCGGATTCCATATTTTTTTCTACAACTACTGCTTATTGATCAAACTTTTATAGCGGCTCGAAATCGACCCTATTTCACGACGGTGGAATTTTCGTAAGGTTAAATTCCATATGGGATCCGCGAAAACCTAAAGGGAATATCGGAAATTCAACGATCGAATTTTAAAATGTCAATGTGACAGACGCCTTTTAGGGTTGCTTTCCATCCTCGTAAAAGGCATTTTTACATCGTTATTTTCGAACTGTTTGTGGCATCAATCAATCTTTTAGGACACAAGGAAATAGATCTTACATCTTCGAACTTCCTTATGGATATTTCTACAAATGCAATGTAGCCAATTTGTACAATTTATGTTCTTCTGGGGAATTTTTATACATACAACGTTGCAAATTTAGCAATTATTGAATGCTTTTTTACCTCGTGTGTAATACACTTCTTAATACTAACTTGTATACTTACCACTTGTTAGCTTCATAATTATTCTTAGATAGGGAAAAGTATTTTGGGAATAGATTCAGAAACTTACGAAATTAGATAAACATTTTATTGTTTTTTTTTTAACTTACGAAACTTAAATCACAATATCTAAATACCTAATCGCCGGCGCATTTCGAAAATGCAGCGCAAAACTATCAACTAACTTTTTACCTTAAAATTAAATATGTGCACGTATTTATTACTATTTTACGAGAATAATACACATAGTTTATTAATGTCAGTAAACCCAAAAAAAGTAACACTTGAAATTTTTAATAATCACAACTTTATATATCTAGTTATATATTAAAATATTGTTGAAAAATTAATGTTGATAAGTAAGCCCGTCAGCTATATCCCGTATAGTGAGAAGCCATTTCACAGATCAGCCCCGTAAACATTTTCGTCGGAGTAAGCGATATATAAAAAGAAATCTTCTTCGTGATGCTCCTACAATAAACACATAATAAATTACTTAACTTTATAAAGATCTATAAGTTTTGGCGAAATATGAATAATAATAATATATGAAAATAATAATGATAAGATAACGCCGAATAAATAGAATACAGAAACCACCAACAACTGTATAAAACATTGAACTTTAGTTGGAAAATTCGGTATTAAAAATTCATTGAAATTGCCAATGAATTTATACAGACAAGTGCAAATTTGTACACAATATGGTCTATGAGTACAACATATAAACAATATAAAGAAAAGAGACAGTAATATTGTGGGATTGCAACTTTCTCACTCTAACCACTGTTATTTTAATAACCTTTCTTTGTTCAACTCATAGAAATGATCATATTGCAAACAATTTTGCACCTACACGTAAATCATGCGATAAATAAAATTTTATACTTTCTCATTGTTCTATTGATAAAAAGAAACAAAAATTTAGTCTCTTTTACCTGGTACAATGATCCCATAGTAGCAGATGTGGGAGGAATTACGTTGTTAACAAAGAAAAATAGAGCATCTTCAGGTCTGAGGTGAATCCTTTTTCTAATCAGGAAATAAAATTGTCCTACTGTCAGATCAGATGGAACTAAATATTTTTTCTTATCGACATCCCCGATCCGTGCTTTGGGCGCCTTTTCAACAATTACCTAGTAAAAGCAATGATAAATTGTTATTAAAAATATTGAACAATCCTTGTATCTTTTAGAGGGAAAAATAATATAGGAGAAAACACATGGCCTACTTAAATTACGACCAGATATCTCTGGTCTAGTCATGAAGGCATACAGTAAAACAAAACAAAAATGGAATGAATTAAAATAACTGTAATTATATTAACAGTTTGCAATGAAGTTAGGAATTAATAACACTTCATAAATTAACGAAAACTGGAAATAATATTAACATGATTAGGTAATATTGGTATTGAAGAGAAAATGCTTTTTTGTGAATCATTTTATTGGATATTGTGAAATTTAGCGAAATGACGTCTCAGAGAGAAACTACGCGTTTACAACTAGAGGCTTAATAGAAAATGTATTTCTTCTAGTTGAATTTCATCCAATAACACAAAGAAAATGACCTTGAAACGCCATTTTTACATGAAAACGTAAATAGTTGATGTATGCCAAAAACACCTAACTCATTTAAATAAAACCTTCAAGGTTCTTACAATGGCAATATGCTCAATACAACGAACAGATTAATTAAGAAGGAATCCTTTACCAATATTGATTTGTAACAGGCATTCCTTCATGACAAACGTCAAAATAATGTTATATATTTTGTTAAATTTTCACTTACTGGAACTCTGTCTGGATATTTCCTTCTTATTTTCTCACCCTCGGACTTCCTCTTTTCAAACGCATGTTCTTCTTTATATTGAAACTTCATCGCAATAACTGAAACACCGAAATTTAAAAAAGTACGACTTAGCTTTGTGTTATTTTCTACGTGTGTATTTTATTTCCTTTTTGGTGTTGTGAAACAAAACAATCGATATGACTATCTACTCGGCTAGTCAAATTAGAGTCGAGCGAATTTATAATTTAAATTGGAACCCGAATATAATTTTGACATCCACTTACAATTTAACAGATCTAAAACGATATGAGAATTATTATAGTAGTTAACTTCGTATTTAATCAATGAGTGTTAAAAATATTCTAAATAAATTGTTGTTTTGACTATTTTACTACTACGCAGCGACAACGAAATTCGATTTGCTGGAACTGTTTTTCTGTGTTCTGTGCTTTACTGGTTCTGAATTCTGCGTTCTATGATAGAAAGTGACTCTAATATTGGTCTCATCTGCCTGGATTACTCAGCTAGTTGAAAATGTCATGATTTTCTACTTTTTTGTAAATATATAAAATAACCTCTAAATCCTCTAATCTACCTCTAATAATAATAAACCCTCTGGTAAATATTGAATATGGTTCAAAAAGTTTTATTCGTGTGTTTAGGTATGAATTCAAATAAACAGCAAGAGTTGATTAATGTTTATTTAATTTTGAGACAGGTAACATTTGCCGGTCACCAATAGCAGAGGCAGTTTTCCAGCATTTAGTAAACGAGAAGGGTTTATCAAACAACTGGGTAGTTGATAGTGCAGCAATAGGTTCTTGGCATGTAGGTAAAAGTCCGGATTCCAGGGCAAGACAAATTTTAAAAAACCACAATGTTGCATACAATGGAAAGGCTAGACAGGTAATCCGATTATTTGATTTATTTATTGTTTTTTTTTGTACCCAATTATTTTTACAGATAAAAACACAAGACTTTAATGAGTTCGATTACATCTTCGGAATGGACGAGGAAAATATATCAGATTTAAACAGTGAAGCACCTGAGAATCCTAAAGCTAAAATCATGTTGCTGGGAGACTTTGATCCGCAAGGAGAGAGAATTATCAGGGATCCTTATTACGTAAATTGAACAATTCTTAGTTCTAAGTAACTGTTTTTAACAAGGATATCTAGTAATGTTTTTAATTTGCAGGACAACGGATCAGAGGGATTCGAGAAATGTTATCAACAATGCATGAGGTCATCGGAAGCATTTTTAAATCAAATCAATTGATTTTTCGTTATCAAATACTTTAAATTACTCGTTAATTAAAACATTTATGAAATTTGATATATCTATTCACGTTCGGACTGTTTAATATTAACTTAAGCTCGAAATTCAAAATAGACCCGTTTAATAATTCCAAAAGACGTTTTGAGTATACCGCGTCGGGCATTGTCTAGGATAACTATAATAAGGATTGAAGTACGTCGGCGCGAATTTCCTAGGTTGCGGCTGCTGCAAACAAGGAGCCGCCGGCGCTTCGGCCCTTTTATAACAAGGCTCCATTACCAAATACAGAATCGTTAATCCGTATATAATGAACATGAAACCTGTAGAACATTAGATACTTTATTATAAGGAGTTTTACTAAGTATTGTTTACCTAGCAAATTGCATAAGGCCCCTTCGAGAGGCATGTCTTTGTAATTGGATATGCTGAAAATGGCCTTCTCGCCGATGCCCGTGACTGCCGTTATGATAGCTAGAATGAAGCAGACTATTCCGACTCTTACGTGATAGGGCAGGGCGGCCTTTCGACACGCAGCGTCCGCTTTGGGGTAGAAGAAAAAATAAAATCCGAAGGCAAACTGAAACAAAAGCGCTTCGGGAAATATTTGGACTAAACCGTGGGGATCTCCTGTTAGACTTACATTTAACATAAATATTAGGATAACAGTGAGGCCCAGCCAAGAGTGCAAACTGTACATATTCGGTATGCCGTTCATAATGTGATTGCTAAAAACGGCTATCAGGCCGAGAATTGCGAACAATATAACTGCAAACTGGGAAATTCCATGGGCCATTTTTAAACAGTTTTTATTGCAAATCGTTCCCGTCCTGTAGAAGAGAATGGCTGAAACGATTACAATGCACTGGATAAGTTTGGAAAAAGGATCACTTAATGGGAATAATTACCGTGAGAAAACATGAATATCATTCCTAAAGTCATCAGCAAGGGATGCCAGTTAAAAATCAGGTCGGCCGTTTTGAAACCTAGACCATTTTTAAACGCAAAAAGCCATATGAGTAGTAACATAAACGTAAAAATTCCAATTACCGTCGCTATTAAGTAACACGAAAAATACTGTTTTCTATACCTACAAAGAAATATTAATAAAAAAGAACATTATTGAAAATTTAACGCGAATTACTCACGGACAATTACAGCACATTCGATCCATATTCGATTTCGTATATGGAGTATGACTTAATTATTAATAAATTTAATTATATTATGTACACAAGTTTTATGTTTTTAACAGTGACATTTTCGATTAGGAAACAATGACACTGACTTTGAGCAATTCCTGCAATTTACAAGGCGTTTAAAAACTACAGCATAGTTACTAATAGTTTTCTCTACGATATCATTAACTTCATACATTAGGATTGAGTGAATCAATTTATTTATTCAACACGCTATATCATAACTCAAATTAAAATAGCAGCATTTTTTACAAGAACTGTACCCTTGACTATTCGTCTATTCGAGTTAACACAATATATTAAACAAAAATTCGAAATTCCGCAATTAGAGAGCTGTTAACTGCGAACCAACGAAGACGAGCATTAAATGATTAATTAGGTAAATTACGGATATAACAAACTAAGTGAATATGAACTTCATAACTTTGGTTTCTAAACGGTGTCTGCGAAGCCCACCCGGTCATTGCCCATATCGAATTCCGTGTAATATTTCCCGATGAAAACGTCGCCTAAGATCCACAAAGGACCGTTCGGGGGAGGAATATCCAGGCCCATGAAACCGGACAAGCAAATAGTTTTGCCCATTTGAGCGACCTGCAATAATAAAATAAAGCGTTTTAGGATTTAAAATTATAAAGTGGGAATTTAAACATCTCTAATAACGTATGAAAAAAAATGTCTTACTCTCAGCACGTAATCTTTTCCTTCCAAACTGAACGATTTCCCGCCTAAAATGAAATCGATGTTGGGTAGTTTCGGTATAAGAGTACAATCAACCATGTATTCACCCCCTACAATCGGCGTGGCACCGATCAACTAAAAAATACAAAATTAAAGAAAATACAATTAAAAACTTCAAACATAGAACCTATTTAAGTCTTATACTGGCCCCTTATTACTCACTTTATTAATTTTGGTGACCTCTGCGAGCGGCCCGGCTATCAAACTAGTACCCGTATCGGCGATGGCCTGGCAACCGCCACTGCAAAATTCTTGTGAATTGACGGTGACCTTGTCCATAGTGAATTGCCAGTAACCTTTCCTCGTCACCGGCAAATAGGTGAAATCTCCTGAATAATGAGCCGGATCGGATCCCCCTAAAATCAGTTCGCCCCCTTGCTTAGCATCAGGATTCCTATAAAAAAAACAAATCAATTTTGTAAAGTAGGAGATTTCCCTATAGGTGTCTTTAACAAGAGTGGTCTTTGGCTACAAGTAAGTTCTTACTACTGGCTACAAGTAAGGCTCTTGGGTATTGGTTCCATATTTGTCACTTACCGGTTTAAATAAAACGAGAATACGGGTTGGGAAACCAAATTTTGCTGGACCATTTGGTTGAATACAGGCGGTACTCTATCAACGGATATTGTATCATACGCCATGCCTAATATTCCATCGAACTTCGCTGCTACAAAGGCCAAACCGGGTTCACTGATGGCTTCTGCGAATGTTTGCTGTTTAACATTCAAACCACCTACCTAAAATTTTGAAAAAAAAGCTAGACTGTTCATAATAAGTATTATAAGACGTTACATTAACGACATCGGTAGATAAGAATCCGCTGAGACTTCCTGATCCGTATTGAATGGCGAATTTGGTGCCGTTTTGTTGGTACGTGTTCGATTTTGTAGAGTCATATTTATTGTGAAGCACTAAAAAATTCAAGTTAAAATAATATTTTCTTGTAAATGTATACAAAATCAGATTTGTACTTACGGCACGCGATGTTTGTGAAGCTGCATTTCTTAGAAGGGACCCACAAATTGGACGATCCGGTATCAAAAATTACTTTGAATGATTGAGGTGGCTGTCCAATGCTTATGACACCATAGTATTGAGCCTAAGCGAATAAATTATAAATAAAATTGTAAATTTCAGTACAAATTCTAATGGGGTTTCGTTTCTTTACAAGCTTCCTAAAATATTCTTATTTCTGATGATTTTAGAGAGATTTCTATGATTGTAATCTACATAAAAAGGACTTTCATATTGATCATTAGACATTCCTAATACAAAGAAAATTATTAGATATAAGCGGTTTAAAATAGTTTGATATTCGGGGAACACCCAACATGTTTATTCCAATTCCTTATCCAATTGAGGAATTGATGATAAATTATCACGAAACTAAAAACAATATTTACTTTGCATGAGCTGTCCTATCTTACTGTTACCAGCCAAACAACCAAAAGGTCACATTTTAACGATAATACATGTTATTTTAACTTAACAATTAAATGTAGGTAATCGCTGTATTAAAAGAATTTAAATTAATCATTCTGGCAATACCACGTAAATGTTCATCGTTCCGTTCAAGTTTGAACGTGTAAAAAATGTTTGAGTAATGAGCACATAAACTTCTATTTTTATTATTTTAATAGTTATACTTACATCTAAGTAATTGGATAAGGGTTCTGGCGTAGGTCCGGTTAATTGGCTGTGTTTCAAAACCACTCTATTGACTGGAGTTCCGACATCTTGCAAGGTCCTTCTGACTGACGTGAATCGTTCCAGAGGGATTCTAAAAAACGAATTAGTTGGATAATTATAAGTAGATTGAGCGATAATCCAATAAACCGGCATATACCTACCGCAAAATATCGGCATTTACGAATGTAATAAAAGCCAATATAAGTATCGATTTAATACGCATGTTTTACGTTGTTTCCTACCGAAGAAAAAACTGAAACTGCTGAACTATTTGCTTGCAAATAAACGATATTATTAGTGTCGTTATCAACAATAAATTATAATCGAAAACAAATAATATAAACCATTACTTTCATATTTTTATTATAGTAACGTCAATTGTCAATTAAGTCAAAACGTCAAAACTGTAACTTAACTACAGGGATTATTCAGCTACAACAAAATATACGATTTCACCCATTTATTTTAAAATTATATAAAAACCTTAACCAACATATAAAAATGCTTATTATACACATTAAATACAAAACCGGTCGACAGTAACATCGAATACAACACGCTATTCCTGTCTAACCGTACGCAATTCGAGTACGTACAAAATATAAACTCAAAAAATCAGATAAAAAAACCATGCTAATCGCTCGCAGTAGGCGACTGTTGCCTCAATCTCTCCACATCGTTGAAAATCACTTGGGCCCCGCCACCTGTCGTGGGCACGATGTCCCCTTTGTAAACTTTGGTTTCGATTTCCCCATCCGTATCCTGCTCTTGGGCCAACAGGCAGTACTTCGATTGCTTGGGATTGGTCACGTCAGAGGCCTTCGTTAGCTTAGTTACGGACTTGCGTTTCTTCATCGAAGGCTGCAAAACAGTGCCTAGAGGTACGGGCTTGATGGAATTGTGTTCTAGCCATTTCTGAAACATTCAATGAAGAGATCGATAAATATAAGCGTATGAAATTTGTTACAATAATTACCTCTTCGCATGATTTGGATCTCCTTCTAGGCGTGTATCTTTTAGAATAGTCGACAGTCGATTGTGTTTTAGGCGATTTAGGCGTTTGGGGAGGTTGAATAGTAACTTCGGTATTAACATCGACAGTCACCTCTGCTTCCAAGGCTTCCCGGACTTTCTTCAATTGCATATCCTTGGCCACCATGGCGGCGTTCAAATGGTCCCGTTGCTTTTTCAATTTAGCATCGAGCTCCTGCGACATTATCTCGCTGGCCAGAGCTAACTTCTGCCTGGTTCGTTCCTTTTCGATCAAATTCTGATTCAGCTTCAGATCCTTCTCGTCGATTGTATTTTGCAAGGTTCTCACCATTTCGTTCAGTTCCTTGTTCTTTTCGCCCAACACTCCATTCTTCGTTTCGATTAAATTGATTTTCGTCTCTAAATTGCTCGTTTTCGATTGTTGCCTTTGTAGCAACCCGTTCAGATTGTCTATTTGCGCTTTGTTAAACAAGCACTCTTTATCGATGTCAACTAATCGCTTGCGGAACGTCTTGTTCACTCTGTGTATTTCGTTGGATTTGGTCTTCTTTTGCTTCAGAACGTCTATTATATCGTTAATAATCGATCCGCACAAATCGATTTCGTTGACGTCGAATTTGAAAACGGGAATGTTCGTTAGTAAATTCGTTTTGTGGTTCATCACCTTAGCTGGAGTAGCCACTCGCTTCGATATGGTCTTTTTAGTTATAATCGGCGTGGCTTTGGGCTCGGATTTCTGGACTTTTACGTCTTGGGTCATCTCGGCGAATTTCATAACGTGAAGATTCTCCTCCAAATCGGTGATGGCAGGGTGCACGCACACGATCATTTGGACGTTGCCGTCGCCTTCGAAGTAGTTTTTGAAGAGATACGTGAGCCTGCTGTCCCTGTACGGTACGATTTTATTGGCGTTCGTTTGCTGGTTCTCTCTGAGCACTTCCAAACAGGTGCGAAGGTTCATTAGGGAATTATTGATGGCGCTTGCTTCTTTTAATCTGTGAAAAAACAATTATATCTTTATACAATAAGTTCGTTTCGAGTCTGTTGATCAAATCTCTACCTTGTTCCTGTATTATTAGTCCTACTGCTTCTTTCTGAACCGGCCAAATCCACGATACTCAACTGTGAAACAGTCAAAAGGTTCGTCTCAGGAATAATAGGCCTTCCATCGGAATCGACGGGTAGCCTTTCCAATTGGGCCACTCTGATATTAAACACCGAGTGACTCCTGCTCGATTCCGAATTCAAATTCGTGTAAGCCATCCGCTTACGCTTCTGTCCCGTGAGGAATAACTCGAAAGCCTCCTGTGCGGTTTTGACTTCCACTTCGACCACACCGTTTACGTACATATTTCTGTTCGGATCCTCCCGCAAGATTTTGTTCTGCAGGGTTTTTCCGTTACTCGATTCGTCCAAGAGGTCGAAGACGCTGTTGTTGTATATTTCGATGTACGAAACGAACACGGCATAAGCATTGCTTTGATTGACCAAAGGAATCATCGTACCTTCGTTAACGAAATACGAGGAGTCCCCGTTTAGTTTCCTGCAATTCCTTGTAGCCCTAAGGAGCCGGTTCTCGTTTAGCCGATCCTGCACCGCATCGGTTTCTGATTGTATCTCGAAACCGTTCATTCTATCGGATTTAATAATAAATTTCGGCGTTTGTAAATCCTTGATGGAATTAAACAAGGTATCAATGCACCTAGGCATGATGCCTGGATTGTTGCGGTCGCCAGTTAGGGTGTAAGTTTTCCCGGAGCCTGTGACTCCGTAGGCGAACAGCAAGCCATTTTTACCTTTTAGCAAGTCTTCCAGCAAGGGGAAGCCGATGTGATCAAAGATTTCCTTTTGCGTTGCATAGGACGTAAATATATGCCTAAATTTGTAGGACATCTACAAAACAATACAGTAATAACTACTTTGCTTGTGAATAAATAGATAAATATACCTCTCGTCGGATGCCCTTCGATTCGCTGGATATGCATATTTCCTGCGGGGTAGACAGCACCATACAGGACTTGGCATCAACGGTTTCTTTGAGTGGTCTCAAACGGCAATATACATGTACCGGGTCTTTGTCCACATCAGAACTGCAGGAGGACGCCGAAGTTTTCTCTCGTCTCAATTTACGCGGCGTCGGGGTGAATTTCGACGCAGCAAACATGTTTCAAACTGTAATTATTCCTTACTACTATTTCTAACGATACTAAAGTAAAGGTAAAAGTGAAAATAAAGTGACCGTTTACGTTTAAAATTAAACCGCTTCCTCGTATAACTCAACCGCTAAATACGCCAAATGTCAATGTCAAAATTGTCATAAAAAAGTTCAGACAAATGCCAATTGTCAAATTCTCCAATTTTAAATTTTATTTTATTGAAGCGAATGAAAAATGTAATGGTTATTAAAGGATCTGTAGGAATCTTTGTCTTTAGTCAATTAATAATATTTGTTATGGGGACATTCTCTTCTAAACGATAGGTGGCTGGCTGCCATAATACAAGGTACAAGGTTTAAAAATAACGAATAAGACAATAAATTTTTCTGATTTTGCTGTTTTGTCGTATCATCTGTTTCTGTGCTGTTTCAGCCTGTCTCTGTCATAGAGAAATATAGAGTGGCAAAAGCATACGGATGCGCGTGAAAATAATGGCACAAATTGAATTTGACAGATTTGACAATTTTGACATTGTCATGTCATTTAAGGTAGAAAAGACAATGAAAATAATGAGATAGCTAATTGAACTTTTGTTATGTAAGGAATAAAGAGAGCAAATGCCCGGTATTCACACGAAGCGAAGCGAATAACCGATAAAGAAGTTCCTGTTCCTTACTATCTTATAGAATTGATTGAGTTCTAATTCTAATGCTTGCAGCGGAATAATTCGGTCATATGGTATATTTTTATTATGATTTAAAATTTTTGATACTTGTAGTAATAGAAATTTCCTTCATTTTGTTAACATTTATTTTATTTCGTATCGTTTATTTATTTAGTCGTTTATTTTAACCTTAGATCATATAAACTATTAGTATATAAGGTTTTAACTATATAAGGCCTACACAAGATCGCCTAAAAGTAGTGGATTTCCGTTACTTCTGGCAACGCTGTGTTTAAATTCCGCTACATCTGGCAACACTGGTATCTACCTTAAATGACAAGTGACAGTATGCGCAAAATTCAATTTGTGCCATCTACGAATACACGCTTTTTCCACTCTATATTCTCTATGGTCTCTGTCTAATCTAATCTTGTTTGTCGTCCGCCATTTTAGTTTCGTTTTATATGGAGTGCGAGATTTTGGAGTGAATTTGAGCTTAAATTGGTGCATTGGCGAGTATTTTTCGGGTGATTAGGTGAGTGAGGCTTGAAAGATGTCGATTGAATATTTACAAGTAGCCGAAGACGAGGGAGAGGAACCGATAGAACTGCCCACCGAAGACGATGGGACTCTTTTACTTAGCACACTTTCCGCCCAATTTCCTGGATCGTCTGGCTTGAAGTACAAAAATCCAGAGACGAAAACGTTCCGGGGAGTCCGGCTGTCCGAAGGACGTCTTCACCCTCCGCCCGACGGAGGTTGGGGCTCGCAAGTATTTTACTGCGTATTTCCTAAAGGTAGGGACCACGTATTATTTTTACTACAACCAGATGACCCATCCGCTATTGGGTTTTCAATGCGAAAATGAATTAAAATGGTCGTTTATATTTTATTTGACGTTCTATTATTAATTTACTGTACTCGACTCAAATGTATTGGCTGGGTGAAAGGGATTAGAAAAATTGCATTTAATTTGTATATTGATCATAAGTGTGTATGTGGAATGTGGTCGCATAGTTTAACGATAGATCAAATGGTATGTGGAATTAATTAATATTCTGAATATAAATTTCAAGTACTACCAACTTTAGTACTATTTTTACATTATTATTACTACATTGTTGTTTGAACTCGTACAGTTCAATTGTACTCACAATTCAATTCACATAACATTATGTAAATAAAAAATGAGAGGAAATTCATTCATGTAATTATTCATTCATAAATTGCCAAAAATCATTGATTGGATTTTTAGAGATATATTAGTATATTACAGTTGGAGGGTGAATAAATTTAATATTTTAGAGAATAAACGAAAGTGTGATGACAATCTGGAAAATTCGACTGCTAAAACGAAACGTATGGAAACAAAGTTACGTTGTACTGATTTGATTGTGCTTGGTTTGCCTTGGAAGACGACTGAGCAAAATTTGAGAGAGTATTTTGAGGCGTTTGGTGAGGTGCTGATGGCGCAAGTGAAGAAGGATCCAAAAACTGGACAATCCAAAGGATTCGGATTTATCAGGTTTGCATCGTATGAATCTCAGATGAGAGTTTTAGCACAGAGGCATATGATTGATGGAAGGTGGTGTGATGTGAAAGTACCCAATTCGAAAGTAAGTACTTTATAGCTTAAATGAGTGTGTTTGCTTTATGCTGTATGTGAATATTATACCTCACACGAATTTATTACTATTATTTACTATCGTTTTTCTTTTGAAATGCTTTTGTTTAGCTCAAAATTATTTCTTTAACTTGATAGTTAAATAATGTTTTATAAAGAAATACTACATACGCAAATATATTTGGTGATGATTTGATAGATGTGCATATTTTACTTTGCTCTTTATTTATGAATCTACTGAGTGAAAGTTAATAAATGCAAAAGAAATTCCAGATTTAAACAAAAGTATTGAAAACAACTTATCAAAAGAGCCTTTTTTTTATTACAACTAATAACATCAACTGGAGTCTCCATACTTATCACACGAACTAATACATTAGTACAGCATAACGACGACTAAAAAAAATATATCTTCACGTTTTCGTTGCGTTACAGGAGGGTTTGATTCAGCAAGTACCGTGTAAAGTTTTTATCGGACGATGCACCGAAGACTTGACCTCCGACGATTTGAGAGAGTATTTCGGCAAATTCGGCGAAGTCACCGACGTTTTCATACCGAAACCCTTTCGGGCGTTCAGCTTCGTCACGTTTTTGGACCCCGAAGTGGCCCAATCGCTGTGCGGAGAGGATCACATTATCAAAGGTATGTTATTTACGGTATTAAATTACAGGGTTGTTTTTTAAAGGTACCTGTTTGGATGTGTATCAGAATCCTGATACATTCTTTATACTGGGTGTTTGTAATACAGGGTTGTTTCTACGGGTTTCTGTTTGAACGCGTATAATCAAAATTCTAGGACATCCTTTGTACTGCGTTTTTGTAATACAGGGATCTTTCGACAAGTACCTGTTTGGACGCGTATCAAAATCCTGGGACACCCTGTATACCGGCTGTTTTAAAATACAATTTTATAATAACCTTCCTATACACTGAGTACCTTTTGTGAATTATAATTTCTTCTCTGGCGGTCTAATATCTCTTGTAACTAAAATATTTTTTAGTAAAATTATGCATTAATATGAAATCGTTTGTTATATTCTAGGGGTGTCCGTGCACGTGTCGAACGCGGCCCCGAAATCCGATACCAGGGGCGGCGGTTACAGGGGCGACAGAAGCGGCAACGGTCCGTCGAATAGGGGCGGAGGCGGCGGCGGAGGCGGTGGCGGCGGTCCCGGAGGTCCGGACGGTGCCGGCATGTACAATCAAAGGTACAACGGCACGGGTCCCAATCAGGGCAATTGGGGCAACCAAGGCGGTCCTAGGGGCAACATAGACATGCCTAATTTGCAAGCTTTAGGTAAGAGAAAGGATTTTTTTTTATTGTTTTATTGCCAAACGATTCATTAATGAGTATTTTTTGTACAGGGTTAGTCGTTAGTATTGAAACCATTAAGCTCAGGTTATTAGGGCGAAAGTATGAACGGTTCACCTTGTATAATGAAATAATCTTTTGAGATCATTTTTGTTTTATGAAGTCAATTACACAAGGGACAAAAATTTTTTCGAATAATTAAATATGGATTATTTTTATTGAATAGTGGATTTCCTTCGTTCCGCTTCCTATTATGCCGAATCAGATTCCCCCAGTCCTAAATCCCCCAAAGTAGCATGTAAAAAGCGAAAATTTATGTAAAGGCAGACGAGAGAACTTTAATCGAGGACTTTAATTATATCTTTTCAGGATATAATATGCGCGAAGGATGGATCTAGGAAAATTCGTTTACGAATTAAGTTTAATTGTTATTGTTGATTTGGATTTTTTGTTTTGTGTTACTTATTTCTTGTTTTGTTTTGAAGTTAAATAAATACGATTAATAATTTTTGTTTTTCAATTTTAGCAATTTAAGGAAATTTATTAGTCTCATTAATCAAAAATGTAGAAAAAAAATGTAATAAATTGCTAAAGAAAATATAGAATCGAAGGTAAGTTTAAATTTAAATTTATTACTCGTTCGCCGACATAGCCATATGTAAAAGCTTATAATCAATAGCGCAAACTCGAAATAATTTTTAATCCAAACAAAAAAATCCATCATTTAAACTGGTATTGTTTCCTTGATCGTCGCCAATCCTTTCCTTCCGATGAAATGTTTTGCTCTAAAAGGGCGATTTATCGCTTTAAAAAAATAATTTTTTAAAATTTATGCTTAGGTATCACCGGACAAGGGCAGCAGGGCAACAACCAGGGTAACTGCAACCCGCTGGGAATGGGGCTGAACGCCTTGGGCGCCCTACCGATGAACCCCGCTCTCGTAGCGGCGGCTCTGAACCAGGCCGGCTGGGGGCTGATCGGCAACCTTCAAAATCAACCGGAACCGAACTTCAACCAAGGCTTCAACAACGGACCGAATCCCGCTAATCGTAAGTTAGTTTAATCTCTCGATATCGCGCGGACGCGTGTCTATAAACATGTTAGGTTGCATGGATGAATGTTCGTTTAAATTGCAGAAAATAACCAGAACAACGGCGGTCGCGGCGCGAACAATCCAAGTTTTTTGAACTGGATAAACCAGGGTGGCGGTAACCAGAACAACCCGGACGGACAGTGGAGCAGGCCGCCCCAGCAGAGCCAGGAGTCGAAGGGGTTTTTGAAATACGATTAGTTTAGCCGCTTTCAAACGTAAGTAGAAATGTTTGAATTTGTGATATAAAGTTAATTTTCGTCAATTCGTATAATTTACGTTTTTCTGGTACATTTCAGCACACTTCGTAGACGACCCGTCGAAATAGCAAATTCTAATTTGTTACACCGATATTTTATTACGTTCTTAATTTTAAGAAGATTAAATTTAAAGATGACGGAACCTCCGAAACTCGCAATATGTTGAATATTTTTTATACAAATTAAAGAGTCGGGTAAATGTGGAATGAGAGGATTTCAGTTTTTCGAGGTTTCGTAGATTAAGTTTTGTTAGGTGTGTTTTTAAATATTTAAGCCTGAAAAATCGGATCGCGTGTATTTATATATATAATTTTTTTGAATGTGAGAAATGGAGAGTTAGGTTTTGTACAATGATTTTTCTTTTGGAGAAATTGTAGACATATTATGCCTTATCAATATACAGATTACAAGAGTTTTTTTTTAATTCATTGAAATCTCGTTTGTTTTGTTGTAAATAATAAGCGAATGTATAAAACGGACTTTTATTAGGTACATACAAAAAGCAAACATTAAAATTTCCCGTATTTTTTAGTATGACATGAAACATTGAAATTCGAAACATTTTTATATATATTTTTTAATACAACAAAGGCGCCACCAACTTATTCCTTAAAATGGCGTATAACTCTTTCCTCAATATTGAGCAGTGTACACCACTTGGCTTTAAAATAGGTATGCATGTAATATAAGATTTTACTTAGACCGGTCTAAATTCAACGTTAAAATTATTACATGCGATGAAGTATAAATTTACAAAGATTATAAATTAATGAAACAAGAAAAATTATCCCATCTAGATTTGTTTTATCAAAATGATTGGTGCAAAAACACGCTTATGAATAAAGCAAAAAAGGATAAATATTTCTAAATCAAATTCAAGTAAAAGAACATAATCTTTTACATAAATCGCATTAGGTAGTATTTTGTCGTCACGTTTGTTAATCAAATTTACCTAACATTTCCGAAATAAATTTCCAACATGGAAACTAAATATTTAAAAAAATATCAGTACGATTGCTTCAGACAGAAATTTAAACTGTTCACATTTATATTGTAAACGGAAATTTACCCAAGTGTATAGTGTGATGTGATGGGGGTACCTGCATAAAAAAAGGAATGTGTGTATGTCGAGAATTCGTATAAACACAACGGGCCTACAACCCAAAAAAATTAACGCAAAATGTGCAAAAGTGCAAACATTAAAATAATTAAATCTTTGGAAGTGGAACAAGATCAAAAATCTCGTAGTTTTTTTGTATACATCAAAACGAAAACTACAAAAATATACATAGAAAAGGAAGAAATTAAAAATTACGCCTACACGTAACGATAAGGCGGTTTCTGAAATGCGAGTATTACATAACGAAACGGTTTTTTGTGTCTTTAAAGTAATTCAATCCTGCCTTGCAATTCATAATTTCCAAATTTAAAATATTAAGTACAAATTCAAAAAAAAAAAGATGTAAATTGAAGAAAATATAGTAATCAATGGATGGCTTATTTAGGAATACTTCAGAAACGCCTTACGTTAAATTTTTGAACTTAATCTAACAATTCACTGGCTAGACAACCCCGTCTCACCGTCTCCTATTCGGATTTGGAATCTTGACTGTAATCGTCGGTACTCGAACGGATGTCGCCCTCCATTTGGCCGGCATTCAACGAATTATGAACGATTTTCAATATTAAATAGGTCCAAAAGCAATGTAATACCAACAGCAATATCAGCAAACCGTTGAAAATGTAGTAGGCAGGAAACATGGGAACGATTTTAGGAGCATCGATGGATGTACTGAAAAATTTATTCGCGTAAATAAATAATCAATAAAAACTATCGATAAAATCCGCTTACTTTCTGATGATCCAAAACGGAAAAATTCCCAATCTAGTGACGATCCAAAGCACCGTAAACAATGCGAATATGGCATCGCAAACTTTCTGATAACCCGAATACTTCGCCATTTTAGCGGCCTATAAGAAATGCGTTAATTACTTTAAAAAATTTAATGAAATCAGTACGTACCTCGAGGAATATATCGGCGCAATCGTGAACCAACAGGACGAGCGTACCGACGCGAAAAACGTTCACGATCCACGACAGACACATCAGTACAATCGTAGCTATGTGATGGATGAACATCTGCCAAAAGTCCTTGCGCTTCACGTCGAAAAATTGGCTAATGCACAACGACCAATAGAATGTCATCGACACCATGTAATACCACCAAATGTCGTTGGTCACGTTCTGGTGAGGAAAACCAGTCCTGAAAGGATTACAAAAAAATTATCACAACAAACTCATCGAGGAGATTCAAAATATGCAAAAATTTAGTGGGTGGTGGAGTTAATGAGAGGGAAAGAATGAAAAGTCTTTATAAAAAGTCCTGTTTGTCGTATTAAAACCTGGAATTTGATGTACAGGGTGTCGCTGAAGTAAAGACGTTAAAATGAGTCGAGAGAGAAATACCAACTTGTATCCTCTAGACTACTTAATCCGGGGACAATCTTTATACGGGAATTTTTGAATAAATAAAAATAAAATATATTCGAGCATGCAAAATATTCATCTATTGTTCTCAAGTATATTTTTTTCCTAGAATGATAGGGCTGTAATCACTCGTTTGAAAATTTCTAAACCAATTTACTACAATTAGTACCAAAATAAATCAATCTCTTATCAATCCACCCTCGAATTTTTCCAATCAGTCAAGATAAATTCCTTATCGTCAGATAAAGAAAGCATTAATCGCATTCGCGCGACCACATTGTAGTCGAAAAATATACTTCACAAACGCGCTAAAGCAAAACACAAAACATGTTGAAACGAGCGAAATCCTTCTTCAGAAAACCGAAAAAGGACGTGGAACACGATTTATCCGAATCGTCGCATTTAAGACGAAAGGAAGAAATAACCGAGCAGACCATCCTCAGGCTCAACAGTAGCAGGGCGAGTATGACTTTCGAAAAAACCGGGCCCCCCAAAATGCCCGGTCTAATCGAAGAATTGAAGGAAAAATGCTCGATAAACGAGAAATCTAAAAGTGTCGATGACGTTCGTAAAATCCGACAGTGATTCATTTTCAAAGGGAGCTCATCAAACAATTCCTGAAACAATACTACCTATCTCTCGCATGTGATCTCATATTGTATGTTTTTTTTTGTAAATAATAAAATTTATCTTTTTAATGGCAGCCATAAAAACAGGGTCATTCAGGGACTATTCGAGTCCTTATCTCCAGATATTCAAGGCGAAAAGAATTCTCATATTTTTCCAAAGGAGTATCTCTAAAAGTGTTAGAATTATAAAGCACTTGCCAACATTCGTTGATATCCCACAGCCAAGGTTTGTCCCATAAAATCATGATACCATAAGTGAAACTGAACATGTAGTAGAGACAGCGCCAGGAATTTTCGCTGAATTTTATTAAAGTCGAAGGCTTGTTTTGTCCTTTGCGAAGTCTCAGCCATCTTTCCACTTGTCTCTCGCTGATATCTAGCTGTTTTGCCAGTCCCTGGATCTAAAAAAAAATATTAATTCGAGAATAATTAGAAATAAAATCAGTTTGCAAATAATCGCTTTTAAATATGCCTCTTCCGGAATTCTTTCATTTTACTTTTTAATTTTGTAATATTAATGATATTGTTATGTAATTTATGTATTTATTACAACTAGGAATTTCCATAAAATGAAGTAAAAATAGAACAATAGCACATTGTATAATTTCTTATGCTAAAAAAAATCTAAATTATTATAGAAAATATAACTCTTATATCTCTATAAAAATTTATAGTCAGGAATAAATAGTTCAAAAAATTACAATACATTACGAACCACCCTGTATATAAAATTTTTTTCAGAAACTTGGTGAACAATAATAGCAGTAAAATGGATCGAGTCAAATGATAATAAAGTAATTACCTTAATAGAGTTAAAGTATTACAATTTGATAAAGCCTTGTAGTTTTATCTCACATTTTACATTTTTTCTGCTTGATTAACTTCGCAAAAACTTTAATTAAAATTGTGCAATTATGGAATTTGTGAAAGTACCTTATCTCATTCAAGACGTAAATCTTTTTAATGAATCATCATTAAAATGACCAACTTGGAAATATACGTGGGAAAATTGGATTAGAAAAAAAAAACACGTACCTGCTTGTGTTTCCATCGCTTCGACAATGTGAATGCGTTTTCGAGAACAGAATTATCCGGAGCTTTCTTTGGTCTACAATTCTTAATACCTAATGAGATACCGACTGGGGCAAACCAATACCTGATTAAAAAAATTAAGATAAGCTTTAACGGTTGTTCTTACAATGGTTTTTCATTTAACTTACTTTTCTAAAAGGTACCGCAAAAGTAACATAAATATTGACATCGGCAAGGGGAAGAATAGATGTCGATAATCCGCATGGCGAATATTCGAATGTGTATCAGGATCTAAATCCTTCCAAGTGGTATTCGGGGGTAACCAAATGTGCTCGCTCCAAACGGTGTCCATAATGCTTCTATAATAATTAGCCATTTTTAATGTTTGCTTCTAAAATCTTCTATTAGTAACAAAATTCTATATTCATACTAGGAACACAGGTATTTTATAATTTCTACATATATTTGTTTAAACAAATTTGCCGAACTACACCCTCAGCCGTCATGTCATTTTGATGGCACTTGACTTTGACGTTTGACGTAACATTGACATTTGATCTAAACAAAACTTTTGTTCGTCGGAACTACACTGCAAATAAAACGAACAACTCTAACAATTCTACTTTTTTATATAAAAAATTTTTGTTTCAGATTATGACATTACTGACAGTCAATTTGGTTTAGTTAGGAATTTAGGTTAGAATTTCGAATTTTATATTTGGTTTATTTATTTATTCTAGATTATCATTTGAAATAAAATGAATTTGAACGAAATATATTTAGGTATATTGTTACTTTTAACTATTGCTGCCAGTGTATAAATGTCAATTTAACTCATGTACAATTGCAGATTCTTCAGGCTGTAATATCGAAAAGTACAATAATTACTGCAGTATTAAAACCACTTCGTATTCATTAAACTGTGAGGATTGTAGTGGATGTATATTAAATATAATTAACAAACCGACGTTACACAAAAGAGTCTGTGAGTCGCCATTCATTTGTCATAATTGCAAGAAACCGTTTGAACAACTGCAAAATCTTAGAAAGCACGTATTGAGTCATGTGAAGCCTAGAAAGTGTAAGGTACAATAATACTGTGAGATATCGAATTTCGTTGTCCCTGAATTTTAATTTTTCTAGATATGCAACAAGCAATTTCGTGATTTGAATGTCTTGACAATACATTTACGCAAACACTCTAAAACAAGTCCATTTAAGTGCCACATTTGTGACAAGTCTTTCAGGCAGAATTATAACTTAAAACAACATATTGATAAGCACTTGGGGTTGTCCAATGTTACTTGCAGATATTGCAATAAGACTTTCTCTACAAAATATAATGCCAATATTCATATGAAAAATGTGCATAATCATAATGAAAAATCCAACATCGTTGATGACACGATGTATTTGAAAATGGACTCAAATGATAATTATTATGGATCTGTGGATTCCTCTACAGAAAAAGATATTAAAGTAGAGGTATGTTCTACAATAGCATAATTTACTCATAAAAAATTGAAAATTTTACAGATCTTTGAAACGGATGTTAAACAAGAAGGAACAACTTCAGAAGAGTTTTATGTGAAAACCGAAATGTTAGATTCATGATTGTGATCCAAACTGAAAAGAGTTAAGTTTAACTTTAACACAGAAAATATTTTTATTCTATCGTTGATAATGAGAAGTTTATTATTAAGTTTTATGGATTTATTATTTAAATTACCGAAAAAAATAAGTGCCTTATTAATAAAAATACAAAATGGTAAAATTAGACATTCTCTTTTATTTAAACTCTGTAAAAGCTAGTATAAACAATTTCGAATACAAAAAATAAGGAGCAGAAATATTTTTATATTTTAGTTAAATGAAAACATTATGCAAAAAACTTATCAATCCGACTACATAATTTATTATTACAACAATGAAAATGGAGAATTAATGACAAAACTGCAACAAATGCAAGAAAACTTGTGCATTTCTTTTCAGTCGTTAAAAAATAAGCATTAATTCTTTTTTTAATCCTTAAAAATACCTAGTAACAAAAACTAACTTTATACACTTAAAATTAATACAAAAAATCATATATGAAACATTTTATTACTTTAAATACTTTTTTATGTTTTCACATTTCCAACTATGTAATATTCAGCTATAGCTATAAATTCATTTATATTTAATCAGATTCCAGAGGTATTGCTTTAATAACAAAACATGTATATGACTTGAAAAAATATATAAACATTTCTAGCTATTCACAAACAAACAGAAATTACCATTAAACAATATAATATGTATTCACTTTATCTCGTTAATAGCGTAAAGCGCTTCGATTTGCTTAAAATCCGGCGGCATATTCAAATTCTCGATGAATTCTAAATAGGAATTTTTGAACGCACTGTAATGAGTCTTCCTGCAAAATTCCTTGTAAATCGCACAGCATCTCTTCGACATTTCTGCCAGACAAAGCTTCTGGTGATTATTGCTCGAAACGAACGACGTTATTCTATTACCAATCGACTGCAAGCTCATCTGTATCCTTAAATTATCATCTGAAGTAACGTATTTCTCCTGCAGCTCGATGAAATCCCGAAACAGCCCAGCCTCGTTATTCCAACGTTCGATATCGTTGCTACCTTCCTCGATTTCGCTTATCAGAACTTTAATTATATCGTATTGCTCGTTAACGAATAGCACCGGCAACAAATGCTCCACGAGAATATCGTTCGCCTTGCAATAATCCTTGGCTTGAGCGAAGTGATTGAACGCCTGGAAATATTTCTCATTCGAAAGGGCCTTGTCGCCTTTAACGCTGTGAATCCATTCGGACGGCACGCGCATCTTATTCACCAAATTATTCTCCACTTTAATCGTAGATTTATTCACGTCGCATGACAAATTGCGATCCAAAATGCCCAAGACGAGGTTCCGCTTGATCGAATCGTCTTCGAGATGGAGCAACACGAATATCGCCCACTCCCACTCGCCCAGCGACTCCAACTGATTGGAGAAACTCGTGCACAATTTTACCTTTTCCGAGTCCTCCATTATACCCACGTCCAGGGACGTGAACAGTTGCAGTAACAGCCAGCCGAGCCAGTAATCTAAATAATCATCGGTATGCGTGGACGAATCCAACACCGTGCTCAGTCTGTGGGCTTTCGAATAATACAACATCAAAATGTGGAAGAGCAAATCGAACGAACCGTCCTCTTCGTACGTTGTCCTGTAAGGCGGATTGGGCGACGATGCGTACGTGTACTCCTCGAAGGCTTTCTTGTACATCTCTATGACCATTTCGATGGGGGCCCCTACGGGCGACACGTACCACAGGTGCATGCCGAGCGCCCGCTTCCAATCGATGTCCTCGAAGATGTTCACTTCGTCCCTGATCGGAGTGCCGGCCAACAGCAGGTAAATCTTCTTGGTGGTGTCGCCGATGTGCTGGGACGTCATGGATTTGTACCAATTTTCGATTTGCTCCTGCAGGAACAGCTTCGTGTTGTTGGTCACGCTCAATTGGGATATAATCAACGCCAGATTGGGATGGCGTTTCTCCAAAGCGATGCTGGCAGCTTCGTTTATGCGATGTATCGACAGCTTGTCGAAGATGGTTTTGATGGAATCGTTGGAGTCGATCGATTCGTAATCGGTGTTGAATTTCAACCTAAAAAGTACGTGTTTTTAAAGGAATCGAAAGGAGATAAAATGTTATTACCATTCGCTTAGAAGATGTCGCCTATTCCAAGGGGTATTCTCGGTGGGGCCCCACAGAGCATCGGCTAACGTCCATATGCTATGCAAGTATCGAGTTTCCTTGTTGTCGTATTCTTTCAACAATTTTTCAAACAGCTTCATTTGCTTTTTCAAATAAGAGTGGTTTTTTATAATCTTGTAAGTTGGTATTTGGTTCAAATCTAAGGTAAACGTACTTTCTTCTAATACAATCTCCAAAGAGTCTTTTAAGATTTCCTTGAAAATAAGAGAAAAATTGTAGATCAATATTGATTAATAAATGGTTATCTTACTTCTTTCGGTTCGAATTTTTTAGCGGATCCGCATCGAATGTCGCTAAGTACCAATTCAGTGCCGCCCTCTTGCTTCTGAACAACATTGTAAAATCTGAATCCCTTCGACCATCCGACTTTGAACGATTTTCCTTTAAACAGCGCCAAATCTTGGTAGCTCCTCATCTGCTTCAAATTCGCGCCAAGCTCTTTTTCTACAAGCAATAAACTCGAAAATAGTAGAATTCATTAGTAATAATATCATCGACTCACCATTGACGTTGTAAACTTTCTCAACTTTCGGTCTCAATATCACCTTCCTCCTAATGCTAACTTCCTCGGTTATCATCGGCAACGCACGAATTTCATCGGGAATATCCAAGTATTGCCTGATTATGGAAATGTGGCTGCCGCCCCCGTCCGACGATCTATCATCGTCGGCAAACAACGTAGACTTCATCACTTGTATGTTCTTGCTGGTAGTGTAGTCGTGATGATGTAGAGGTAGTTCCGATGGTAAATTATAATCATCATCCGAGATATCGACGAACATCGAAGTGCGTAGAACGTCAGCTTCGGCTCGATATCGAGTATCATCTTCCATGAATATTTCATCATCTATACCGTAAGTTTCCAACTGCAATTCAATTAAAGAAATTATTGTATGTGTGTGTTAATTACTGGAATAATTTACCTCTTTAGTTAAAGATTGAGTTACTGCTTCCTTCTCAGCAGGTTTATCTGTAGTTACTTTCGCTTGTAAAGCGACATCCGCTTTTTTGGTAGTTTCCAATTTCTTGTCGCCGCCTCCATCTTGACCGGTCTTTTGAACGGTTTCCTCGTCGTTATCGTCGAAGCCGTATTTGGAGAAATGCTCCACTTTGAACACCCAAGAGCCCGTTTCGGGTCGATAATCGACGAACTTGGCGTTCTTGTTCATGGTAATCCTACGTAGCTTTTCGGCGAAATTGATCTTGAGCAATTCGTTAACGTCCGTGACGAGCGCGTGGCTGTTGGATTGTTTCGGGTAGACGTTGTCCAGGGTCACTTGAGCCTTGCGATTTAAACCCTGAAAGCGAAACCTTTAAAAAATCTCATGGAAAAATAGTTGATGCTAAGTTACCTGTCCAACGGGTGGTTTTTTCTCGTCGTCGGGATAAACGTTTATTTCTCTGTATCTAAAATGCACCAACTCGTCGATGTTGAGGCCGTAAACGTCCATTTCGTCGGGGAAATAAACGTTCCCGTATCCCTTTCTGCCTATCGTGAAACCTTTTACGATGCATCGACCGGGCTCCTCGATGTAATTAGCCAATTCGTCCAGGCTGGGTAGAGTGTAATATTCCGGTCTGGTACAAATGATATGGCAAGGATGTCGCGACAGGCTGTCGCCCATTGCATTCAAATCATTTATATCGGTTTCAACTTCTGCGTCTACGGTCGACTTTTTTGGATTTTTTTCTACAAACAAAAACTCGATGAAATCAAACGAGCTAAAATATTTCCAGTAACTCACCAATCGAAATGCTATGTTTATTAATTAAAGAATTGTCTATGCAATAGGAAGGTTGGGAATTAAATGATCCAGCTTGAGTAGCAGAATCCTCGTTCAACGTATTATCGAAACTTAATTTTAGAGGCGACTTTTTAATTTCCGATTGTACATTTAGATCTGAGGTGTTGGTAACGGGATTTAAATTTTCATCGTTCGTAGGCGAGTTCATGATTTGCTTTAATATATCCATTTTCATTATACCGGGAGATTGACCAGATGCACCGCTACTCGTACGGTTCTTTAAAATCAATCTTCTACAATTCGTCTTGACGTATTCCTTGGAATTATTATCACTGTGGAGTGTAGGAGAAACGCTGTCGAATAGATTGTCCTAAAGAAATAAATACATGATTAAATCGAGCTACTTAGAGTACAAAAGAGAGACTTACTCGTGTACTCCTGATGGGGATAATTTTGGGTTTCGAAATATGCGTATCGTCGGCAGTCTTGTAACCGTCTAATAAGGATTTCAGTTCTTTCGGATTCGTTACCGATACATTTGGCGAATTGTTCTTCAATTTAGGTTCGAGACCCGCTAAATGGGGAGCATCACCGAATGGATCAGCTGTTAACAACGCCAGATTTGTGGATAGCTGTTGATCACCAGATGGAAACATCCTATAACATAACGTAAACGATTAGATCTTTTCATCGAGAAAAGTGAATTAGTTCTTACGATTGTTGTGCGGGTTGTGTTTGACCGAGATTAAAACCTGTGTTCGGTTGGAAAGAAGTATTTGTATTATTAAAAAGGCCAGTTGCGCTGTTATTGGTAAAGAGTCCTCCTGGTTTGGCTGCGGTATTTCCAAATAAAGAAGTATTTTGCGGTTGTAAACCTACAAACAAATAACATTAGCGTTAATATCGAATTATAAGCATAAAAATTTACTTACCACCGCCCAAGGTGGTACCGAAAGCGGGCGTAGTTGTCGCACCAAAAGCCGGTGCGACTGGTTTCCCAAAGGTATTACCAAAACCGCCGGTTCCGAAGGTGTTGGTTTGCCCAAACGCTGGCGTTGTCGTTGATTGACCAAACAACGGTTTGGCCGGTTGAAACAAACTCGAAGCTTGAGTCGATGTTGTCGTTGAGAACGAAAAGGCGTTATTTTGCGACGTACCGAAACCAGGTTGGGCCGGTTGAGCCGGTTTCCCAAACAGAGACACGCCGGTATTCTAAAAATACATATAAATATTTTGAATCGGTACACTAAAGTACGCACAGGCATAAGATATCAGATCATAAACCAATTAAGTTGAATTTTTTTTATAATATTTTACCTGTGTATTTGTTTGACCAAATAACCCTCCTCCACCGAAACCTGTAGACTGTGTAGTAGCAGTATTGGCTCCAAATATAGAGGGAGCTGAAGTTCCAAACGCCTTTGGTTGTTGATTAGCACCAAACGACATAATACCAGCTTGCGTATTGTTGTTGTTAAAACCGAAACCAAGGTTCGACTGACTAGTAGTGGTACCAAATCCTAAAAAATCAATTTACTTATAGTACCAAATTAACCTATTAGAGTAGAAAATATGAATTCTTACCGGTAGCAGGTTTTCCAAATAAACTACTACTTTGTTGTTGACCAAATCCGGTGTTTTGTCCAAAAGCAGGAGTAGATTGTTGTCCGAAACCGGTAAAGCCCGTTTTAGAAGCGTCAGTTTGTCCAAACATTGTTGGGGCTGTTGATGCACCTCCGAAAGGAGTCGTACCGAAACCGGTTTGCTGTTGAGGGCCTGAAAATAACGTATTTTGAGGTCCTGAAAACAATGCGTTTGTAAATAGGTTAGTACCGAAACGAACAACAGTGATAATTGTTAGTAACCAACAGTATTAAAGAAGAGAGAAATCACCTTTTCTGTTTGCAGCGTAATCTTCAAACCTCAATTCTTCAAACGATTTATTCTCGTACTCCTTCATACAGGTGATACTATGATGTTTGGTATTGATGCTGGTCGCAACGCCGTTTTTCAACATAGTATCTGTACCGGTGACGGGATTGAACTTTACGGTTCCCGTTCCGGTAGATTGCTGCCCGAAAGCGTTAGATGCGCCGAATAGATTATTAGCAGCGGGTTGGAAAAGGCTCGTCGGTTGCTGTTGCTGCTGCTGCGTTTGTCCGAACAAACCGGGCTGAGTAGCCTGCGTACCGAACCCGAAACCCGTCGGCTTATTTTGCTGGCCGAACGTCGAAGTCGTATTGAATAGCACACCTGTGGTTGGCTGTTGTTGCTGTTGTTGTCCAAATAGGTTTGTTGTTCCTAAAATTCCATACATGATTAATATTGCATATATTTCGTGAATTGGTAAAAATGCTCCTAATACAACAGAAGTTAACGATTCTTTAGAATGTTTTGCTTCAGGGATTTTTAGGTTAGTTAGCACAGACTTACCAAATCCCGATTGAGTTGATACGGCAGTACCGAATCCTGTGTTAGCATTTTGAAATAGGCCCGTAGACTGCGGTTGAGTGGAGGGAAACAGAGAATTGGTCGGTTGCCCGAATGCGGATGTCGAAGGGCTGCCGAAACCGCCCGCAGGCTTGCCGAAAATTTGATTCTGCCCAAACGGGTTTGTTGTGTTCGGAGTAGAAGCTCCGAAACCTGTGAAATGTTGTTGTTAATGCGGGTTGGACAATGTGGCGTAATTATTCGTTTCATTGGTACTTGGATAATTTTCTAGCATGATTAGATGAAATTATAAGATAAAAATAATTGCTTACCGAACGATGTACTCGGGGTAGATGTTCCAAAGGCTGGTTTGTTGAGATTACCGAACATCGCAGTAGGCGATTCGTTATAAAAGGCGGTTCGGTAATCAACAAAAAGGGATCATAAATTCAGCAGAGCTGGTACTGTGCGGAATTCCTATGTGTAAAAATTCTAGAATTAATAGTTTTTTTAATAACAAATTCACAATAAAGCACAAAAACCACAACCAACATGAACGAGATAAGAAGAAACAGAAACTCTTTTTTCTTTTTTTTTGACTTATTCAAGTTGAAGTTTGACAAGCCTAACTGTCAAAATTATGACTTCTCTTCTTTTTTAATAAAAAAAATTTGAAAAATTATAATTTGCTATCTTTAGAACATAATTTAAAAGTAATCTATACCTGTGTTTAATTCAATTAATAGATTTAGAAATTGCATTTGTATAAGCAAAATAATGTTTTTCCACTTCTTTTTAATAAGTAACCTCTTGTCAACAATTATTCAGCCAATGCCAAATTCCGGAAAATTAATTGTCAATCATAATATTAGGTTAGGTGCTTTGTTTGTAATTTGTGTTTAATTATTTGTTAATGATTTATATTAAACTTACGCAATTATGCTAGAAAATTATCCAAGTATTAAGGAAACAAATAAAATTCTTAAGGACGCACAAAATGGTTCTATATGTTCCCTGCAGCAATTTTCAAAAAAATACCCCGAACATCATTGGAGTGCAATTCGTTACGATACAACAGGCGATACAATACTACACATAGCTGCGCGTTCGGGCCACGTGAATATTATTCATTTTTTGATGGATATTTCGGACGTTTTTACGGTAGATTGTAAAAATAACGACGATAAAACAGCTTTACACGAAGCGTGTCAATTTGCTCGACTGGACGTTTGCACTTTACTTTTAAAAGCCGGGGCCGATGCGAATGCACTAAAGAGAGCCGATTGGACCCCTCTGATGTTAGCTTGCACGAAAATAGTTGGAGATACGAATTATAAGATTGTCGAGTTACTCCTAAAGCACGGAGCGTTGGTAAATTGCAGGAATAAAGACGGTTGGACTAGTTTACACATAATTTGCAGAGAAGGGGAATCCAACATATTACATCTCCTAGTAAAACACGGCTCGGATTTGAACTCGAAAACGAAAAACGGTAGAACTTGCTTGCATATAGCAGCGTTACACGGCCATTTAAATATCGTCGAAGCCCTTTTAAAAGGCGGAGTGGACGTGAATGGAAAGGACAATTGCGGTAATAGCCCTTTACACGAAGCGATTCTATCAGGAAACACGGATATTTCTAAATTTTTAATCGATAATGAGGCGGATGTACACTGTAAAAATAATAGCGACTATGGGTTACTTCATCTAGCTTCTTCCCGAAGTAATATAGAGACAGTTCGATTCGTTTTAGATGATTTAAAATGGAATATTAACGAGAGGAATAGCAGCGGTTTAACGGCGCTACATTGTGCTGGAAGGAATAATAATATGGACGTTTATCGGTATTTAATAGAAAAGGGAGCTGATGAAATGGTACTAGATGATTTCAAAAGGAAACCAAGTGATTATCTTCCAAGATAACAAAGTAGTTTTGTTCGAAATTGATGATAAATTATATTTTTTCTTTTTTAATTTAGTCGTTTTAATTCACCAACTATCTTTGATAATATCTAAGGAAAGGAAGTTATCTATAGATATTAATTTAATCTGTGAATATTTTCCTTTTCTATGGATTTTAATTATCTATAATATTCTGTAAAACAGATAGGCATTACATGTGTTTTGGCTGAATAGTCCACAACTGTGGCCAAAATTTCTGGGGATGAAGAAGATGTCACAGAATAAATACTATTTATGTTTATGGTGTAAAATTATTTGCAATATGGTCAATTCTATGAGTTGGACAAAGAAAGGTTATTAAAATAACAGTCGTAGGAGTGAGAAAGTTGTGATTCCACAATATCATTCTTTCTCTTTTCTTTATATGAGACTAATAGAAGTTGTCCTTGTTGCACCAATAGACCATATTGCAAACAAATTTGCACTTTTTCATATGTAAGTAAATTTTTGTGCTTTCTTCATAGGAGGAATTGTTTATAAAAATAAAACAATGTAGCTAAGTGTTGTAAAAAAATTATAATTAGGAATTTTTATAATATCGATAAGACAGGTTCTTTTTATAAGATTTGTCTAAAAATAAGAAAAAATATATTACCATTAAATTGTCGTTAAATAAATCAATTACAGTCTGCGATCGTATGGAATAATTTTCATTTTGGATGTTCCTATTTAATTTGAAACTGAAATATGTATTTTGTAAATAGTAATTACAAGGTTGGGTAGATAAATATAATAAGGCAATACCAAATTATTTTTAAACAACGTAAAGTTGCGTGTATATTTTGAAATAAGGGAATTCAGATAAAAAACCAATTCTGTGTAAAATATGTATATTTAAAGGTAGGGAAAATATTATGGGAAATATTGTAATTTCATGTAATTTATATACAGATAAGAGCACATTTGTTTGCAATATGGCCAATTCTATGAGTTGAATAAAGAAAGATTATTAAAGTAATAGTGATTAGAATGAGAAAGTTGCATTCCCATAATATAACTATTTGTTGCATCCATAGACCATATCCCAAACAAATTTGCACTTACCCATATAATTATTTTTTATTGTTTACGTTAACAAAAAATTGTATAGAGAAAAAAATAAATCACATTTTTCAAGTTAGTGACCTGAAATGAACTTTTCCCAATCTGATATCAGATCCTCAAAAACGCAAACAACAGGACAAGTTTTGGAAACCTACTACAAAAAAATTTACGATATTTTCCTGTTACCATATATTTCTGATGTAGTTAAAACATATAATAGCGTTGACCTTTCTAAATTTAAATCAAATGATGCAGTGCGCACATAAGAAATACTTGCACCAACAATTTATTGTTCTACCTACCTATAGAAAATTTTCCAAAGCTACAATACACCTGCTAAAGTGTTATTAACTGAGAATTATGTAGCTGTTTTCTTCCATAAAGCCTTAAAATAGGTATATCGATTTTTCTAGAACACGTGACTTTACACGCTTCTTCTAACGAATGATTTTTTTATTCAAAATAAAAAATCTATAATTTCAAAAAATTCCAGAATTTATCAGATTAATTTATTTCCATATCTAAACCCATAATTACCCATACATATGTACATAGATAATACTAAAACAGGTAAATTTCGGTTGAAACCGAGATAAAAAAAATATCGAAAATTACCTGAGTTTGACTCAAAAAAAATTCTCGACTAGTGTCAAGTGATCCATGGTTGTTTTATGGCACGGTTATTTGTCGATTTTTACCTGTTCTAATAAACTGGTTCGGCGATATTTTAACTATTTTGTGAACGAACCTCGTCGAACGTCGAACGTAATACAACCGACCGGCTTCTACGACATGTGAATTTTCAAAAGATAAACTCAATTGCACCGACCGTTCGAATTTAATCCGATCGATTTATTACTCAATATTATGTCATGAAAATTTCATACTATTTTTTTGTTTAAACTGAACGAGATGTTGTTTTAATTGTATTAGGTGTGTTTTTTAAGTAGAGTTTATTTATAAATTTTTCAACACTTGACTGTCGAACTTATAGACACTTTTTGACACTGGAAAACATGAATGTTTTTGAGTTCCAAAGCACACTTTAATATACAAATAAGTGCAAATTTGTACGTAATATGGTCTATGAGTGCAAGAAAGACAATTTTTATTAGTCTTTATGTAAAGGAAAGAGAAAGTGATATTTTGGAATTGAAACTTTGAACCACTGTTATTTTATGATCTTTCTTTATTCAACTAATAGAATTGACCATATTTAGTCATATACCATAAAATCTACTGTTGCATCAAACGTTGAATTTTCTTTAGATTATTTTGTTTTCTGTGTTGGTGTCATATATGGCTTTGTACTAGAAAAACAATTAGATTTTGCTAAGAACAATTCTTTTAACGCCTTTCAAATGTTTCCTTTAAGAGATAGCACAATCAACATTTCGACTTCCGGAAATTTTATCTTGTGTCGATTTTGTGAAAAAAATTAAATATCATCATATCAATTTTCTATTTCTTTCTAAAAGGTTTTTTTCAAGCTGTCAGCTGTCAATTGTCAATTGTGATATATTACGACTACAATTTATCGTTTTGGACAGGAAAAAAGTGTTAATTTTTCTTAAATGAGCACACTAGATTGGAAATTCGACATTTCGACTTTCGAAAATTTCATCTTCAGTATCCGTTTTATGAAAAAAAAATGTAAATGAACATCAATAATTTTCCTCAAAACCTCCCGAAATATTTTCCACGTACTGCTCGGGCTTTCGTGCTATAATATCTAGCGTAATAACGAACCGCCTTTTATATTAAATCTCCGTTCCCCTCGCGTGCAATCGGCCCGCATCCGCAGCGGATGCGCATGTCTCCTGCTAAAATAGCAATCGCCAAGAAACCGCACACAATCGTTCAGTCGGGCTGATACGGAAGGCGGTAGACGGTATATTAACAAAAAAATCCCAAAAAAATAATAATATTCGAATAATTCGCAACCGGGCCAAACGTTCGTCACCCCATCGCTCTTCGGCGTGTAATGGCTTTTCTGCGTACGGCGGTCAAATTCAGTGTTTGCAGAAAATTCGGTCTGTTCGATCCCCTGCAGAACAATCTCGGGAAATTCGGTAGTAACATCAATTTGGAGCGGATCGCGTTGAAGAGCACCGCCGCGAGCAGCACTTTAGTGGACAATGCGACCAATGCAGTGGAAAAGCAGCAACAGCAGCCCCCTCGGGATCCATTGGATACCAGTTTCAACGATCCCAAGGCGGCGTTTAAGAGCAAAACCAATTGGGAACTGCTCAGGGCCTATGTCGTCTACACGTTGTGTTCCATCGAGTATTTGGTTACCCACAATATGCAGGTATATTACTCAACTCGTTTTTACTAGGTCACCTATTTAAATTCGTAATTGTAATTAATTAGGGAGCGCGTGTCCGCTTGGATTCCACGCAGGATTTTACGCGATAAATCCGTTTAATTCGCCTTATTATTTTTTTTCATTTATTCAAAAACGTTCCGTTCGTTACATAATAACGTAATTATTGAGTAGAGTAGTTGGTTGAAAAAATTGGCTCTGGTTAGTTTCGTTCGTTGATGTTGGCAGTGAAACCTTGGCTAACCTTCTATCGATTTTTAGCAGCAGGAATTTCGCTGTGCTTTGCTTTACTCCGCTCGCGCCGCCGGCCACTGACTCGTACGATTTTTTCCTTCAAGCCCGATACTCTCGAATAAATTAGCTCTTTTTTTGCGATTCGAATTGTACAAAACGGTTTATTACCGTTAAATAAATTTAATACGTGGTATCTCTTCGGTACCTGCGTATGTGTATTTATCGCTAACGAGCCGGTATTTGTTAATCAGGTGCGCGATTTTCGAGAGGGAATTGCGCGAATGTCTAGTTTAACCCCTACGCAATTAGATGATGAATTGTTAAATTTCTTAAAAGGCCTATTATAAAAAGATTAAATTGCAAACTGAAATATAGACCGCTATACGTTACATAATTTACAATAATGTGTCCCGAAATACAAAAATTATAGAACAGGAAAATTGGGCGCAAAAAGAATTAGAGATTTTAAGCGTGTGCCAAATAATTTTTATGAATCTATTCCGAATCTACTCTGAATCTACGCTCTGAATCTTCTCTCAATTTACTTTGAATCTATTCAGAACCTACTCTGAATCTACTCTGAAACTACTCTGAATTTATTCTGAATGTACTTTGAATCTATTCTGAATCTACTCTTCTAAATCTACTCTACTCTGAATCTACTCTGAATTTACTTCGAGTCTACTCTGAATCTAGTTTGGAATCATCTCAATAAGTAATCTCGTTTTTCACCTGAAATATTCTCGCGCCCAATTTACCTATAGTATTGAAATACTCTTTTAAGCTTTCTGGTAGTAAATACTTTTTCTGCGCCCAATTTACCATAGACGGAATTATAGTAAAAGAAATGAGTAAATTTTTAGAGTCTTATATGGCTTCACTTTAAAATCATATTGTTGTTTTTTGTTATTAAAATGAAAGGACTCTTAAGTAAATGAAAGGAATATTTTCAAGAATATTTGTAGCAATAAATTGTTGTTAATTTTGGGTTCACAATGCATGTCTTTTTATCGTTGTTGCAAATTTTTAACAGTTAGGTACTCGAAAATACACCGTGTCATCGACATTTAATTAGCCAGTGTCTTTTTACAAGTGCTATCATTTCGTTATCAGCACAAGTGTAGGCTTGTAACATTGAAAAATCGATTACGTACAAATCGATCAGAAATATTTATGTAAGTGCACTTGATGAGTAAAAACTCGAAATATCTATCATTCATCAAGTGGTTTTGTCTGTGTTTTTTTTGCATATTTCTCTTTACTTTTTATTACTCATTTTCCCATAATTATTGTGCAATTTTTTGGTCAATGTAATATTTTAATTTTATACGACAAATTACTAGAAAATTTTTGCATATTCTTACCATATTAATGCTGATATATTTTGCTTAAAGCCGATACATTTAAGTTTCATATTTCCACATAGAGATCATTTCAATTTATTTTCTATCCAAGGTTAACTTGTAATTTTACTTGTGGTTTTCTCCATGCGGCTTTTTCTTGAAAACAATATCATTGGTTACTAAATTAAATAAAATAGGCTTAATAGGTTCATCGCCTTTGAAAAAAATGGCACGTTTACATAATAAACTCACTTCAAGAAACTTAAATTTAGATATTTTTGGCAAAAGAACTATTTTGATTTGATTTAAAGTTACACTAATTTACTAAATTTTTCGAATAAAAAAGACCGTTGTGCAGTTTATTGGCAACATGTCAAAATTATTGCATTACAAAATGTTGCCTTGACTCGAAAAAAAAATTGATTTCGATAACATTTTTAAAGCCTACACTTTTTTGTCGTGTGATCTGAAACTATAAATTATAAAAGTATCAAAATATTGTTATAAGATAAATTACCTGACGTCTGATGGAATTTTTCGTTACATTTGACACAAGGGAAAATAACTTTTTTCCACTAACTTGTATTCGCGAGATATATTAAAAAAATCATTCATATTAAAAGATTCGCTAATCAGATACAAACCAACTGTAAACGTAACTGTAAATTGAATTGACAAATTTCACCTTGAATTTCAATTTAGAGTCAAAACTTTGTGCAAAATGTTCCTTATTCTCTAGTGCCAGTTATACCTAATGTAGTATTTCCGAGCAACTAAATTATTATTACTTATTTTAAAATTATTTAAAAGCGTACCGGAGCTCTCGAGCAACCAAATTTCAATCTTATTTTAATACCTTATAATTATACACAAATTTCTGGACAGAAGCTATTGGTTTAAAATGCAATACAATAATGCTAGTAGTTTACATAGCAGCACTTTTTAAAGGGTTTAAATAAAAAAGGTGGGAAAGCTTTTCATTTAAAATTTACGTAACAATTTTAAAATAAAAGACCTACAAAATAATTTAATTAGTCTATAGAATTTCTCTGACTCCTTTCTTTCCTAAAATTTCAAAGATTTATAAAAATATTGAAAGAAGGCTTACAAAAATTTCAAGGAATCTCCTTAATACAATTATTATTTTTAAATAACTTCCTAGATTCAAGAAGTAATTTCATTTTTATAGGTGTCTGGTACGCTTTTAATAGAATGATAATTTAATATAGAGGTTTGTGAAATATAACCTTTTGAAATATATAAAAATATTTATTGTTAGCGTTATTTAACACAATTTTGTTGATGGTAGAAGAGATTGCAAAACACCTTTGGGGGAGTAGAGAGAACACCACCATTCTGTTTCAATAACCAATTAATTGCTTACAACACAACTATTGCGCGGATAGTTCTTTTATCTAAAATCCCGTAATCTAATTATAAACAAACGAAATATGCTAATCAATCGATAAGTCGTCTGAACAATTTTATGTCCATACACGGTCCGTACTATTGTCAACACTGACGAACAAATCCAGGTAGAAATTACTAATTTTTTGGCCAGTTTCAGGCACACTTCGAAATTTTTTAACCACGTTCGACCTCTATTTTTCCCCGACTCGGAGTCACTAACCGTTTCAAATTTATTTTTTCGCATTTTACATTAGTTACGTTGCCAAAATTTCTTAATAGAAAATATTTTAATGGACCAAAACATGTTAAATATTAGATAATTATTATTATTAATAATGGTGCAGCTGTATTTGTTGGTATTTGTGAGAAACGTGAAGGGCCCTTGTATTATGATTGAATATTTATTATATTTCGTTTAAATTGTCTTCTTAAGGACATTCCTTAAAGACCTGGAAACTTAGATATCACATTATTTAAAGGTAAAGAACCTGATCTTTCTCCAGATTCTTCTGTTAGCATTCTATCTTCACTTCAACTACACCATCACCATTAAAGATATGACCAGTAATAAATCCATGTTGATTTCGATTTTTTCGATTATTTTTTATTGTAACGAGAACTCCTGACGGTGATTGCTTATTCATTATTTACGTTTTAGCGAGCTTGCGTGTTCGAATTGTACCATATAGTAGTGACGTCACGAGACATAGAGAGACCGGCCTCCGGTTTGGTCGGAGCTATTTTTAGCTCGACTGTATGTACTATATTATGTGCACATAAGCGATACTATGTAATGTATGTAGTTGGTCGGAATCGGTGCCTTTTCATTTTCCCGTCTGTTCGAATGCGAATTCCTCGCGACAAATAAATTCAAGCGTTCGACCGTGAGTCAGCCGGCACACCACGAATATAATTTCTATAATTTATTTACTGGGGTTACTGGGAAACTTATAGGCGTGTGTAAATGAGGGAAGTTCTGTCGATGGATCAATGGATTAGTTTCATCGTGAATTTATTTTATAATCTTGCGATATTCGAAAAAACCTTTCAGCTTCGAAATGGTGCACAATTAAATATTAATGTAGCTTAATTCCCGATGCTTTATTAATGGGTATCGAGGGAACCCTTTCGTTAAAAATAATACCACTTTTAGTACAATCTTTAAGATTCGTATTCAACTAAAGAAAAGCTTGTAAAAGTCCAATTAACAGTAACACGTGAATCTTCTACATGATACATTTCAGTGTTATTTCAAGCATTATGTAATAATTTGGAATGGAAGAACGATCGTCTTTGCGTGCAACGAACATTCATTTATACTGTAACAAAGGGGATATAAAAAATATTCAAAAATAGTAGGCAAATTGGTCACGGAACGGATTGCATGATATACCTGGTTAAATGATGGATAAAAAGTTAATATGTCTGTACGAAATATTAATAAAATAGTTTCAATTGCTCGATAGTAAACATTGTCAAGGACGATCAACTTACATCAATTACATTAGGTACTTACGGAATAAAACAAATCAACAATGCAAATATTTACATGAAGAATAAAATCAAAATTTCTATTCTATTTATAATGTCTATGTGTGTTTGTGTAGTTTTTACACGACTCAAATATGCATTCTTTCTAACTAATCCCTTCGAATTTCCAAACAAATTTTTCACGGAAAACCATGCAGAACCCTTTTAAATCATTTTTTACCAGCATGAAAGGTTTTTGAACCTGTCGGGAAAAACTCTTTATTGTTTACAGGGTGTGTATGAAAATCCACATTTTTGAAAAGCCAATATTTTTCCAAATATTTTTGAAAAGCCATTGAAAATTTCTTAATTTTTAAAATTGTACCACCCATTTCTTCCTTTTCGTTGAAACCGGCCTTAAAAAATAAGGGAAGTTCATGTTTACTTCCCTATACCTAAACCGAATAGTCTTGAATAACGAAATTTAAAAAAAATAAAAATGGAATTCTCAAAAAATTCCTCTATTGTAGTAGCCACATGCATAGTCAATTACATTCTCATTTAAATCCTATTAAAAACTTTTCGTATGGAAATATTTCCGGCTCCAATTTGTCACCGATAATATCCCGTAATTCCAATAGACTGAATCCTTTTCCTTTTGCAGTTAATGAAAATCTCGAGAGCCATATTAGGTGAAAAGCTATTCGTCGTATTAATGAAAGGCACTTTCTACGGGCATTTCGTCGCCGGAGAGGACCAGTTCAAGATCAGACCGACATTGGAGAGGCTCAGATCGTTCGGAGTCAAACCCATCCTGGATTATTCCGTCGAAGAGGATCTGTCCCAAGAGGAAGCCGAGAAACGAGAAGTCGAGTAAGTCGGATCTCTGCTCCGATCCAATTTAATTTGTGCTACAATTGTTAATCAACAATTTACAGATCCTCCGTACCCGAAGCTGGTGAGGAGAAAGTCGAAGGACCATTGAAGCAGTACCACGTCGATAAAACCTTTGCTGATAGACGATACAAAGTGCAATCGGCCAGAACTTACTTTTACCTCAATGAAGCCACGTGCGAACGAAACATGGAAACCTTCATTCAGTGCTTAGAAACGATAGCAGGTAATGGTTTTATTGGGATTATTTATTCATCGAATTTTATTATTTTATTTGGCAAAACCCACGGTGTTATGCAATTGATATAAACGGCTAACTTCGAAAAATTAAATATAGAACAAGGCCGTAGATGATGGAATATTTTAGGGAAAAACTTTGTGCTGCTACTGTTTGGTGGTGAAAAAATTTTGAAGCAATTAGGGTTTAATCCAAAAATTTTAGTTTGTTCTCTCTGAACTGGTTGCCAGCGTAAATGCAGCAGCAATTTGATAATTTGTTGTTAAATTTGAACGGGTGCCAGAAGAGCTAGGTGTAAATTTGGAATCGAGGAGATAGGTATACATTATCATTGTTAGAAAAAGTTGCCATTTCTGTATGAAATAAAAAAAATGACCGGGAGAACTTTGTCGTATAATAATAGAAAATTACAGTTAAAAATTAATGACAGGTAATTATGGAAAAATTACAAAATAATGGGAAGGGAATAATCCAGAGTAGTAAAATTCATGGATTTGAATACTTGACAATTATTTTTTTACTTTTAAATATTCCTAAAATCGTATGAACGTTTCTACTTCTAATACTATTAAAGATTTTCAATAAATCTATTTTATTTGATATTATTTTGATTATTTGATATTATTATGTTATTTTGATTACGTTTCTTATCATTCTTGTTTTTCTTCCACGCAGACTTTCAGCAGACATCCAAAGGTAACGAAATTTTCATTTTATTTTTCGGGTAATTTCGCATTAGCAGCCTTGTAAATAGCCACCTGTATTTGTAGAAACTTACAATTTCCAGTAAATTGGGATACACTTATTAATTTGTAGCATTTTAAACACAAAACTGAAACATTCAGCGATTTTCAATTGAATTTTACAGTTTCACAATTTCGCTTTATACAGATTGATTCATTTTAGTTTGCAATATAGGTGCGATAAAGACAATTTTCATTAGACACTCATAAAGGATGAAAGAGTGATATTGTGTCATTGCAACTTTCTCACTCCAACAACTGTTATTTTAATAATCTTTCTTTGTTCAACTCATAGAAATGACCATATTGCAAACTGAAATGCACCGAAGGGTATAATCTGCTTGATTCCTCAACTATCCTATCCGGTTTGTAAGTAGTTTTGGGTAAAAGTAGTTGGTATTGATGAGTATTAATGTAGGTAGTACTTATTAGTATATTTATTAAATAAATAGAATAATAAAATATTACATATTCCGGCCATATTCGTTGCTAAAATTACCACAACTTAAGCAACAAGTTAAAGAGATTTCAAGAACATACCAAAATGTTCTTCTGTATATCTACTAAATCCTTCGAATTAAAGAGTTATTAGTTATATCATAACTGCCAGGTTGTGTTTTTAAAACACTGTATATATATTATCTAATAATGTAATTAATAGTTCTTTAAGGTCGCAATGAAACCTAATATTTTGAAATTTGTAGCTGAAAAACCCGCCTAAGGTCCGACCAGGGTTATTCAGTGTTTGCGTGAAGACATTTTACCAATGCATTCGAAAAATAGCCGTGTAGGAAAATTCGAAAGCGGAAAAGAAAATACGTACATAAATATTTTATCGCTAATAAAATTATGTTTTCTGAAACATCGCATTTTTTTAGGATCTACGTATGGTACTGGAATTGCTGCGGTCAAATTAACAGCTTTAGGTAGACCTCAATTATTAGTAAGTAAATCGATATTTTTTAATCAAAACTGATTATTATTTTTTGATAATTATTAATTAATTGTTTTCTTAAAAATAAATAAACTATTTCGATAACAGCGAATGAATTGATATGACGCGATATTAAAAAATACCGCTCTTGAATGGCAAAATTGTAAACCCAGACTTATTAATTGTTCAGGCAGACAATCCGCAAACAAATTTCACTCGAAATAAAATCGCGTTTCCTACGAAAGCGACAATGAAACGCGATAAGCGTAATGTAAATAAGACAGTAACCGTGTCAGGATTACGCAAAACAAAACTAATTTGTTTAAAAAAATGTTAATTAAAAACGAGTGAGAAAATTTTCCGTCCTTTCAGCTTCAATTATCCGAAGTAATCATGAGGGCGAGAGAGTACATGGCCGAAATTGTCGGAGGAACGGGCAACGTTCTGTCCCATCACGTCAAAGTGGAAGATCTCGAAGCGAAATTCGATAAAATCCAAGACAAGGAATCGTTGAAGAAATTCCTTACTCAAGTTACCGCCGACAAGCAAGGGTGAGTTATATCTAAAATTTTTTTAGATATCTAAAAGTTTGTCAACTTTTCTCCTTACTTATTTCTCTCCGATCAAGTCTAATTTGGACGAGCAAAAAAATCTATTTGATTTTAGAAAAAGTTCTGCTAAACAATATAAAATGTCAATGTAAAAATAACGTAAACAATGTCCTTAGTTACTCCATAACAACAATGGCAAACTGTTAAGTCAAACAGTGTCCTTAGTTACTCCATAACAACCATGTAAAACTGTCAAGTTAAACGTCGAGTGACTTTAACTAAATTGGACAAATTTCACCTTTTCCCTTTCCTTACATTTTTCTCTCCCCGACCAAGTCTAAATTGGACGAGTACCATTCAATGTGGGATTAAACTTTCATTACGAAAATATCACTCGTGACTTTGTTGTAAAAGTAGATTTCAGGTGAGCTGCGCTCTCATACAAAAACAATTTTCACGAGACACTAGATGCTGAAAAATATTTCTATTTACAAATTACAAATAAAGTGTGTTACGGTAAAGTTGAAAAGAGGAAAAAATCGTTTTAATTTCATGAAGAAGTCATTCTTTATAAAAATGTCCTGTTAAACTTTAATGTGGCAATTTTATTTTTTTGAAAATGTTATTTAGCGTTGGCTTATGTTATAAAGAAGTATTATTAGAGATTATAAAAGTTAAAATTTTGATTTGAAATTTTGCATTTATTTATTAATTTGAATCAAAACAACTTGTTTTATAAAATTTTGCTCCAAAAATGTTTAATAGGTAGTACTTCTCTTTTGACTCATTTTAACGTTTCCTTACTTCAGCAACACCCTGTACATTAACTTCCAGATTTTAATACGTCAAATGTGTTTCTTCAACCAGCAAGATTTTTTTATAATGAATCACTTTTCTTCATTAATTAAAAAAATTTTTTTCCACTCAATTTTATCCAGGGACACTGGACTTATCTACGAAATTTTATCAAAAAGTAACGGGAAGGCGAATGCACAATCACTCTAGCATCTCCATTTAAAATTTTATCGTCCTTTATACGAGCGTATCAAATAGGGAACATATCGTTTATTGTTCCGTTCCTATTTATTTTTAGTACACAACGTAGGTTCAACTTTAATCATCAGCTGTGCAAAATAATTACATTCGAAGATATTTAGGCAATCTGCCACCCGATAATTCCGAATCCCATCCTTACCGCTATTACTAAACGATTATTAGCGATGGAATTTTTAATGAGAAATTTCTCGCATCGATTTCCAGAGTTCTGCATCTGTTCCCTTGGTCCGGCATCATCGACGATCAGAACGATTTGAGCACGACCTTCAGAGTGCCGGATCTGAAGTCCGGCCGGATGATCAGGCTGATAACGCAGCTGTCCCCGAAGGAAGAGGAAATGTTCAGGAACATGATTAGACGATTCAATACGATCGTTAAGGTACGAATATTTACTCGATCAACGCGCGAGACGATGATGAAACTCCGCTATGTAATTACATGATCAACCGGCGTCGTTTTATGAATAGCTTTTTTCCATCGTAACGTATATTTAAAAAAGATATTATTACGTATTAAACCGGTCGCGCTAACACCTATATACGTGGTATTCAATTAACGCTAGCATTCATAGCTAAATTATAAGCCAGTATTGAATTGATGTAAAATGGAGGCGACGAAAACACCAATTATTAATTTGTATTTGTTCAAAGGCCGCGGAAGAAATGGACGTACGAGTGATGGTGGACGCGGAACAAACCTATTTCCAACCGGCCATCACGCGAATCACGCTGGAATTCATGAGGAAATACAACAAGCAGAAAGCCATCGTTTTCAATACCTATCAATGTTATTTGAATAACGCCTTCACCGAAGTCTCCACCGATTTAGAGCAAGCCAAACGTCAGGATTTCTATTTTGGAGCTAAATTAGTTAGAGGAGCTTATCTCGAACAGGTAAATATTATACAAGAAAAAATCTCTTATCATTTCCTGTATTTTATACTCCGATCGCTATCAGGAGATAGTATTAAAACCTAATTTTGTATGCAAAAGATAGCTCGTGTGAGTGATTCAACGAAAAAAAAATCATCAAATTCCAAAACTTTTATCATTGTGTAATAGTAAAGTAATGTTTATCTTACTTATTTTACCTTCAGTAGTGCCACTCTGTATACAGGGTATTTAAGAATAGTCTACCCTTTCTAATCCCAAATAAATGACCTGAAACAGAGCATAGTACTGCTTTTAATGATAAATCTGTACTTTATACTACAGGTAATTGTCTATCAAATTATCAATTCAACAGTGCCTACTTCATATTTATTTATTGTCTCCTGATAGCGAACAGAGTATACTCTACTCTGAATCTACTCTATATCAACTCTACGAGTACATTAACCCTACTCTCTATTTCATTCATTCATTCATTCTCTCCAATCTCATTAGTAATCTCATTCGATTACTTGAATAAAACTATATTTATTTTTTTAGGAAAGAGCCCGAGCTGCAGCGATGGATTATCCCGATCCGACGAACCCAAATTACGAGGCCACCACGGAGATGTACCACAACACGCTGTCCGAATGCCTGAGGAGGATCAAGGCCTTCAAGCAGAAAGGGGAAGATAAGAAAATCGCCATAATGGTGGCCTCGCATAACGAAGACACCGTTCGATTCGCCATTGAAAAGATGAAAGAGTACGGCATAGAACCCGAAGATAAAGTCATTTGTTTCGGACAGTTGTTTGCTATGTGCGATTACATCACATTCCCATTAGGTGGGGAATTTTGGAGGATTCGTTGGTTAACAAATTAACTGGTTTTCGTTTAAGGTCAATCCGGTTATTCTTCGTACAAATACATACCGTACGGTCCAGTAAACGAGGTGTTGCCGTACTTGTCGAGAAGGGCCCACGAAAACAAGGGGGTTCTGCAGAAAATCAAGAAAGAGAAACGATTATTAGCTAGGGAAATCTTCAGACGATTGGCCACAGGACAGATAATTTACAAGCCCAAAGGAAACTACGTACCCATATAAATAAGGTACGTAATTGAAAGCTCAAAAAATCCGAAATTTTGATTTAAAAGAATTTAAAATGCGAATTTTAGAAACGGAACCGTCTGTTGCAGATGTTTGGATGCTGTCTTAACAAGATCCTTGAAGGTTTTACCTTAGTTGAAGACTTATTCTTTGTAGATAAGTAGAAAAAATGCGACAACTCAAATGATAAGCTACACAGTTCCAAATAATATCTGCGTGAATGGTCCTCATAGGCCTAAAAAAATGTACGATGTGTGTTATACGAAGCAGGTTCAATTTTGTTACAATTTCTTGCGCGTTGACGCTCTTAGTTTTTAAATTTACAGTATGATATGCGATAATTGTAGGATAGAATGGTGATATTTAGATGAAAACAACAACAACAAGGATCTGTACGGAATGATATGCGTCAATTACAATTGGGGAACTGATGTATTCGAACTCAAAACAAATAACTCGAGGTATTAGTGAGAGTATTGTAATTTATTATTTTTTTTATTTATTAAAAACTCAACGTGTGTGGGATATCTTCTTATTTTATTTAGTTTTTTACCAAAGCTGAATACTTAAATGCTTACAAATACAAGTAGTTAAAACGCTCGCTTTTCAAAGCCATCTTTCGCGTACATTTTGAAAGATATCTCACGCTTTTCAATGGGATTCTATGAATTCACGCAGATTCAACAGATTAGATTAAATAAAGTACTAAGTTTTAAAATAGGGAAACTGTACAGTTAATAATAATAATTACGGTTGCATAATCATTATGTTGTATATTTGTTAGAAATTTTACCGAGCCGCAGGTGTAATGTCCCTTTTCCGGGTAAGCAGTTTTTGGATTTTTCAATTTTTCGAAAACGAATCGAAATAAAGGTTAGTGTAATTAATTTTCATTCGTCGATTCCCGGAATTTCGAATGGTATTTTCGAGAAATTGCTTACTAACGACACGGGCGTACAAATTTACAGATAAACAGGCTTTCGAATTTTATGTCGTGCATCATAGAAATATTTTTATTAGGTAAAGAAGTCAAAGTCTTAGAGAGAAAATAATGAAATATTAACTCGATCTGGAATCCCAGAAATTTTAGGTTAAAATTTTACCAGGGTTGCAGCGTAAATTTTATTATTTTTCATATAAATTTTATTTTGCTCATCATTTCGAACGGATATTTAAAGTAGTCTGTGATTTTATGTTTTTAAAAGAAATACTTGTTGAAAGACTACCGTCTAACATATTTTTAAGTTATTTTTGGTGTGTATGAACAAAAAAGAGAAAATAAATTCAAAAAAAAAATTCAATTTTTGTTTTTATTTAAGAACGTAAGACTGTGTGTAACTTCAGTATGATGTTAGCTTATTGGATTTATTTTAGAAAATTAGCGACATTTACGATCCAATTAGCTAATAGTCTTGTTATATTACGTAAAATATGAACATTGTGTCCTTATAGTGTATGATCTTTGACAATAAGTACAAATTTAATAAATGTTTCAAATGTAGATTTTGGTTGTTTCATCACCTTACTGACAAACACTTGATCGAATTTAAAATGTACTTATAATATGTACTGCTTGTTTTTATTATTTTTATTGAAAAAAAAGGAGGTATTAAAGGGCATCAATAGTTCCCCAAACTTCATTAACCTAAAACACTGACAATGCCAATAAGAAACTACTTACTAAACATATTTTCTGCTCTTTTAAAAACTACAACAAAGGATAATTCAACATGACATCCTGTCGAGCCAATTCCAGCAACATAGGATCATCAAAGAACTTATTTATAGATACATCCTGACTGAGACCTTTCCGCCTTCGAGTTTTTATCATAAATTCTCTTGCCAAATGCGTCGCAGGTTGCGGTTCCAATGGTCTGATCACGATAGTTTTATCCAAAGGATCACCGGGGACAATCTAAAAAAAATAATAAGAAACCTTAATAATATTCAATATATCATCGTAAATTTTAACTTTACCTGCCAATGATGGAAAACGGACAAACAAAAAGCCTGTCCTTGTGTGTGAGTTCGCAAATCCGTTTCAAAACCGAAACTGTCTATAGCCGGAATAAAGGCTTTGATAGTGTATAAAGGTGAACCGGGTACAGGTGCATCCTGAGTTACGTGACCACTATAAAAATATCAAAATAAAAAGAATGTTTCATTTGAAAATGAGATGGAAACCTTACCGTCTTTTTGCCAAAACAGTGTAAACTGCAGATACGCAATCAGCTGGCGCTTGCACTTCTACAAACAAATAAGGCTCCATCAACCTTGGTGTAGCCATGAGAAAAGCCGAATAAACGACTCTTCTGGCAGTTGGGATTATTTGTCCTCCACCTCTGTGTAACGGTTCGTTCGCTATAACGGCATCCAGAATTTTAAACTTCGTATTTCGAATGGGCTCTTCGCACAGAGGACCTTCTCTCGTTCCCCATTGGAAACCTTGCACGATCGAATCCTTAACTGAACTCAACAGTCCTTTATCAACTTCAGAAGGAAGCGTGTCGTCTACCAATATATTGGGTCCTACAAAATATTATTTTACAAAAAAAAATCAATCAGATTTTGTATTTTTATTGCGCGTTACCTGTGGTATCGGGTCCGAACGCCCAAATACTCCTGGCCGCCAATAAATCCCAATCGTATTTCGTTTGGAAGAATTCTCCCAATTTCTTCTTATTCCAACCGATTTGGACGTTCTCATTTTCAATATCTTCTGCAAGACCTTTTTCGAGCGGTTCCGCTATCATGGTTAATTTGTTCTTCTTATTAGGAGTTTCCGCGAAACATTTCAAACTGGAAGTTTCCACGACTGTTTCGCAAAAGGCCACTACCGGATCGGCAACTGCAAATAAAGCAATTAATATCGAGTTTTTAACAAAAATGGAGAGAATACATGTTTATAAAACATACCTTTAATGTCTATTTCGGAGTACATCTTTCTCAAATCGTGCATTACGCAATCCAAGTACAATTCGCCAGTTCCCAAAACGACATGTTCACCGCTTTCTTCGACTCGAGTAGTTAATAGAGGATAACTTTTATTAACTTTCCTCAGACCGTCCAACATTTTCGGCAGTTCCGATGGATTTACCGGTTCAACCGCTATTTTAATAATACTCTGCGTGTTGAATTTAAGAGGTCTGAATATGAACAAATCTTCGGAACTCGTCAAATCTGTTATAGTAGCCGTTTTAACGATGGATTGATCGATTCCTTCGATTAGCACCCAATTCCCTGCCGGTACTCGATTTAACTCGATTTTATACCTATAAGATGTTATCAAATTTATGCATCGATTATAAATAAACTTATAGGATATTATTTACCTAGATTCGTAAATCCACAATCTTCCAACAGTCAAAATTCGAGAATCTTCTTCATCTTGCACGGTGTAATTTTCTCCTAATATTCTGACATCGCTTCCTGCGTGCAAAGTTCCGCTCATTACTCTAGCAAGGACTTGGAAGAACGTGCAATCTTCTGTCGGATACATTTTAGTACTGTGAACCTAAATAATAAAAAAATACACCACATTCTTCAATGCTAATTACTTTAGTATTTTACCATTAAAATTCCTTCTTGGTCACAATTCACCATGTCATCGTACACCTTGCATGTATTAGGACCTGTGTAGATGTGATTTACTTTATTCTTAGCGTTTTCCAAAGGAGATTGTATGTGTTCCACGCACATATTCACGAATCCTGTAAATTACCAATTAAATTTACACATTACAGGTATTTATGCTAACGAACCGTTAAAATCTCCCAAAAATTTTTTACACACCAATCCCAGAAGCGGTCTTATGTTCAATTTCATCTCGTTCTTTGTCAATTTGATGCCTAATTCATCTAAAACATCTAGTAAACTGCTGTCTACGTCACCAACTACTTGAGCGAATATTTTATATAGAGGCTCCAAGATGAATTCCACGAAACTTCTTTGAGCTGAATTATGCGGGGCTTTCTTTGTAAATTTCCTCCTAAAAAGTTATATTAAATAACTCAAGTTATATTTAATGAATATATCAATCTTGCTTACGTTTTGCTGTTGAAATAGATATCGCCCCAGAGCCTTTTGGAAAACTCATCAATATTAACTTCACCGTAATACAAATTGTAAATGTTTGCAAACGATTTCAATGTAAAGCATATATCGTACTGTGAACTGGCAAAACAAACATTACCCAATACTGGGGAAACAATTTGAGGATTAGCATCACCGGAGTACAGCCTAAAAAATATATCCGGGTAAATTAATATACCGCGCAATTTAAAAATATCTCTGTACTCACGTCAAAAGCCCGTTTAATTCTTCTACGATGTGCCTTAATTTGTAATAAGCATCCTGAGGAGGCAATTTCAATTCCAAAATCAGCCTGTCTATTTTATTAATGCAAATGGTGATTTGCATTTGTTCTTGCACAGCGTGTTTTAAAAGTCTCTCTGTATTTAACATGACCCCTTCGGCTGCATCGACAAATAGAACAATACCATCGCACAGTCTCATTGCTGCAGTAACTTCATCGGAAAAATTCACATGACCTAACAGAAAAATTCAACGTTAAATTTAATAAAAACAAAATTGAATTATTTACCAGGAGTATCGAAGATGTTCATGAGATAACTTTTGTTTTTCACGTCCTGCAACAGAAGAGTAACGGGAATCGATTTGATAGAACAGCCCCTTTCTTGTTCCGTGAACAAAATGTCCGTGTATCGCAGATTCTTCTCCTCGTAATCTTGATAAATCGGATGGGTTTGCTTTATCAAGCAGTCGACAAATGACGTTTTGCCGTGATGGAGATGACCGATTAAAGCGACATTTCTGATGAGCGTTGTGTTATCCATCATGTCTGCTAAGAATCTGGAAAATTTCACGAATTAAATTGATAAATGGACTAACTAACAACAACTAACTCCATATTATAAGTAGTTTCTGGTAAATCTTGTTCTTTTAACTGGAATTTTTTCTTCTTGACCGGCTCTATTAAAGGTACATCTAACGGTTGGGCATCTTCTTCTTGTACTATCGTTTCAACGTCTGGACCGTAAACTTGCAATGCGGATGGATAATATTGCTTATCTTCGTGTAGAACAATAGCCATGGGCTGGGATTCATCTTCCATTTGTTCATCCTGAATGAAAATAAATTTTAATAATGCCGGTTTTCAAAGTGGTAAATACTTATTAAAGTAGTGAAAATAAACTTACATCGTATTCCTGTTGTTCATCTTCATCTTCTTGTTCACGAGTTTCCTCTTCTTCATCGTCACTATCCAATTCTGGACCGATGTAGTTACCAAATTCATCATATAAATCGGCGTCCATGATTTACAATATTCCAGACTGCTATTCTTATACTTCTATCTTACCTTGTACTAATTACTTGTATGGTATGTAGTTTTATTCGTAATCCACATTTATTTGAGAAAAATTCTAAAATAAAAAGTGTACGGAAAACAACAAACTAACCTTAACAAAATAACGTTGTTTTTCGTTTTCTTCTTTTATATATCACTAGTGGATGAAATAAATCTTCTGTTTCGATAAATTTGTGGCCTTTTACTTACGGATTTTTAGGTCTCTTAGTTGATTATCTTCTTCAAAATTATCAGATATATTTATTGTGACATTTGAACTATTCTGATTCTGACATTTCTGACAAAATTGTTTATTCCATTTATCATATCGCTTTCTTTGTAAATGGATGTGATATAAATATTTCTGAATCATGAACAATGTAAAGCGAAGTATTTTAATTTTCAACGTATTATATTTATTACAATACCCTATAGAAAGTAAGTACTATAATGTGAAAGTTTGTATTATTATCAACAATCAAATCATAATACGTGTTTTAGGTTATGGAGACAGAATTAAAGATAAAATGTACGAAGATATACCCAGTTCGAGTGCTTGTTTTAGAAAGCTTAATGGAACACATCAAATAGGATGCAGCTGTAAGTTCTTTGTTGACTTTACAATACAAAAAATATGTGAAAATTTTAGATTTTTTTACAACAATTGCAAGAATTCGCAGTATTAAAAGCAGTTGTTGCATTAACAACGTTTTCACATGAATCCATCAAATAATTGCAAAGTTTTGCATTTTTCTCAACAATGAGTTTATTTCAGCGACGAGAGGTGGTTCTACGGGAGTTATCCATTTCTGTGATACCGAAAAAGACTTAGAAGATATATTAGCTAATGGAACTGGTTATCCGTACATACCAATTCTAGATTACGGGTTATTCAATCCCACCATATTAGACACCATGATAAGCAGCGATAAAGTAAACGGGCTTATTTTATACACAAACGAAGATAATCCTGTTAAGAATTTAACTCACGAACATCCTTGCCCTAATCCTTATTCGAGTATAGAAGGAACATGTAAAAAGGAATCGCCGTGGAATCCTTGGGGAACGGGTTTACTTTACAAGGATATACCTTTTCCGATATTTTACGTGGATAGTGAAAAGGATATGGAGCTGATTAGAAGTTGTTTTGAGAAGTTTAATAACTTTTCTTATTCTGAGCAAATCGACAGATCGTTATGTTCGTTGGAATTGAAATCATTTATGTTTGCTACTACAAATACTCCCACCTGCATAAGGTATGTATTATGTGTTAAAATTTATGTAAAACATCAAATTGAAGAAGTAACTAAGTACTTTTATTATTGTAGGAGGTCGAACATCGTTTCGAATTTGAATCCGCAGAAGTTTTGCGATCCGTTGGGAAACCAAAATATTTGGGCTAGTTTACAACCTTTGGCGGAGGGGCCGAAGAAAAATGAAACTAAACCATTAAAAGGTTATAAGTACATAATTGTAACTGCCAAGTTAGATACTACTTCTCTATTTGAAAAAACTAGCGGTGCTAGTAGTCCCGCTACAGGGATTGTGACATTGTTAACACTAGCCAAGTATTTAAATGATACTATCATGATGGATGATGTTAGAAATGGTAAGAAATTGTTGGTGTGTTTTTGTTTAATTTTTAATTGATTTTCGATCAATTATTGATCGATTTTTCAGTCCATGTTTGATCAATTTTTAAGTCAATTTTCAGTTCGTTTTTGTTCAATTTTTAGTCGATTTTAGTCAAATATTTTTAGTTCAGTTTTGGTTAATTTTTTTGGTTGATATTTTCTGTACATTTTGGTATTTTTTTTAGCAAAGAAAAATGTGCTCTTTTTCCTTTTCAATGGGGAAACATACGATTATATTGGTTCTCAAAGAATGGTCTACGACATGATAAGAGGAAACTTTCCCCTAGAAAACGCTGACAATTTGGATGTATTACCAGTTATTAAACCTGCAGATGTTCAACTTTTAATAGAAATTTCCCAATTGGGAAATGCGAAGGGGAAATTTTATGTGCATCACTTAAAGGAAAATGAAAATGTAAGTCAAATGATGATAAATAATATTTCGTTTTAAATTTTGGAATGTTTTTTCCAAAAAATAGGGTAAGGGTGAGCTGGGTCAAGCAAAGATGAAAGTTTTAAAAAATTATTAATTTGAGAAAATTTCCAAACAACCTTTCTCTTTTAATAGCCCTTTGCCCATTTTTTATGAACATTTCACCCTAATTTTTGCCATTTTTATTAAATTTGCATGAAACTCCACCTTCTATGCTCAATGATAATCATTTTTTCTTAATTTTAGATCAACAAATTTCTGGATTACATGAAAAATTACACAACACCGGATACATATGAAAGTGTGCCAAATAGTTTACCACCAGCTTCATTGCACACATTTTTGAAGAATATACCCGACTTTCCGGGTATTCTTATAACAGACCACAAAACAACATACTCCAATCATTTCTACAATTCTATATACGATAATTCCGGTAATATAAAATTTAAATATTACAACTTAACAGAAGATAGTAAAAACGATGAATTGTTACCGAAAGAGAGTATTCAGTATTTTATAAAAAACGTTACGGAAACTCTGGGAAAATCTATTTATCAGGAAATCACTGGTAAAGCTTATAATGGTAAAATAAATGCCGATACGGTCCTGATAGATGAATTGTTACATTGTTACTTGGAAGATGCTAATTGTAAAGTACATCAAGCGATTCGAAGAGATATTGTAAGTATTTTTTAATGATTTTAAAGATTGTGTTGATAATTGGTTTTTTTTTCAGAAATTGCCGAAAATTCCTCTAAGCCTCTACGTTAGCGTTAAAGGATCTGATAACATTGCTTCTAATTTAGCTGGATTAACTTTAGGGTGGTTAACTGGCAATTCAGTAGGCCCTGGAAATATTAATTGCACAAATACACCCAGAGCTTATGTAAGTCTAATAAGTTTTTAATGAATGAATGAATTTTTATTCGTCCATTTTTTAGGCTTTCAGGTTTTACAATATGTCTAAAAGCCTGCGAGAATTGAATGTAAGCGTGTGTTATCAAGTAACCATGAATGCAACTGATGCAGTTAGTCCTGCTTTTTCGATTAAGGGTAAGTTTGGGGATTGCAACTTTCTCATCCTAACCACTATTATTTGTAATAATTTTAATTTAACTAATAAATTTGACCATATTGTAAACACATTTGACCATATTGTAAACAAATTTGCCTTTACCCGTATGTAATAATTTATTTTTTATTGATATTTTACAGATTACGATTGGACATCTGGACAATATAGTTCGTGGACGGAATCGACGTGGAAAGAAATAAACGTTAGATTGTTTTTGAGGCCGTCTGCAAATCAGGGAAAAATCACGATGGCTATTGGCTGTATAACCATGGCCTTCTCGTTTATGTTGGTTTTTTTCTTAAAATCAAAGTCGTCTGTGCTGTTTGCTCCCCTATTACCGACTGAATCGCCGGCGGATTGTTGAAAAAAAACGAGTCGAATTTTCTTTTTCTAATTTTTTTAAATTTTTAACAATAATAAGGATAATCTTTTTTAGTAACTCGAAATTCATATTTTAAACATTTCTTTAACAATCTGCTACGATAATTTAATATTATTATATTACATTCAAAACGATTAATTATTTTGTGATAATTGTTTGTATTACTTTAAAATATTTATAATTTATTCGTAAGTCTAGGGATTTTTCTTGTAAGTATATTGAATTTATTGCTGTAGGTATTTTTTATGTTTTCAACATAATTTTTAGTCACCTATTTTTTCTATAAAAATATGAAAAAGTCAAAATGGAGGTAGACTTTGGATAGCTAAATTGTTCATTATCTTTCGTAATCGATTATACTTTTTTTTAATAAATTGAATCACACAAAGAGGAGTTATGTTTTGGTTAAAACCACTCTTTTTTTTTGGAGTAAAAATATTTGTATTTTTTACATTAATACATTTTGAGTACATTTTTAATTACCTAGAATGCCGTATTATCAAAGGTCGGAGAGTCACAATACACATTAATTGCTAACTTCACTTGATTGTTTTAAGTGGCAATTGAAGTACAAATTGAAATATCTTATTATTTTATTAGGCATTTACACCGTAAATGGCGTAAATAGTTGTTTTCTGGATACTATTGTCATACAATCGGAATATTGATCTTACTTATGTTACCGATTTTGTAATTATAAGAAAATAATTGAATAAACTAAGGTAAATTGATGATTCTACGTGTGTCATTGTAAAGTTCGTGGAGCCAATGTCAAAATGTCAGGAGTAAAAAAAGACCTAAAAGGGAAAAAATCATCCAAAGAGGTCAGAAAAAGACCAAAGTGATGAGCACATTGAATACCTTATATTCACAAATAATCATTATTTCATTGCATAGAGCTTCTTACTACTTGAATTTATGCAACCCATATTACTTATGCGATTACTTCGCTATCCCCTAGCGGTAATTCTTTCATAATACAAAAATTTCAAAAATATTCCTAAGGAATTTCGTTTCCAAATTTTCACAATAGCACATTAGAAAATAAACTGAAAAATGTTTATACTACCAAACATGCTTGTAATTTTGTTATTTTACCATAGTTCTTGAAAAAATTCTTTAATACCACCGCCTGGGTACGATTCATATTATAACTCAAAATCAAAAAAAAAATGAGATTTGCATTCCGAAAAATGAATTTTCATTGCTGCCAACTCAATTTGGGTTACTAAAAATTCAACAAACACAAACTCTTCACAAACCAAAACAAGTTTACAGAACCGTAAGGGACCGGTTTCGTCCGAAAAAATAATAAAAATCTGCTCTCCTCTTGTTAATTTATTTTATTCCTGCCTACATTTTTAATATGCATGAGTTTGTACGGTGCTTTTAAATGTTGTGACTTGTGACACGAATTTTCGTCTAACAAATGCTTCATGAGATTGCTTAAGAACTATTTTAAATAGTAAAATATACAGGGTGTTTACTGACAATTTATCTTGAAAGTCCACTTCTTGTTATTAGGCAACACAAAAATGAATAATTATTAATTATGGACACATTACAAAAAATTCAAAATGTTTGAAATAGGATTTCAATGAGTATATTTGACTATACAGATTGATTCATTTTAGGTTGCAATATAGGTTACATAGGCTATGGGTGCGATAGCGCGATAAAGATAACTTCCATTAGAAATTTGTAAACAAAAAAGAAAGAGTGATATTGAGTCATTGCAACTATATCACTCTAACAAACTGTTTTTTATGTTATTTTCTTTGTTCAACTCATAGAAACGACCATATTGCAACCTGAAATGCACCATAGGGTATATAAAATTAGAATAAAAAAACTTACCTAATTATGTATTGAAATGTTGTTCTTATAAATCGATATTTATTTACCAACCTACATTTTTTTTACAATTATATAATTTCTTTTAAATATTAAAAGCTGTACTTATTTTGCCTGTTATTGAGGTTCGATTTGATTAGATCTGTCTTGGTTCTAAGCTCAAAACTACACAAGATGCTCAGTCAGATAATATACAACCTAAGCTAATAAGCATAACATATAACAATTGCTCTCATTCTACCTAATTAGTGTACTTATATTACGAAATACAATATTTTACATTATTAATTTAGTTAGGATTAATTGATACCCTAATTATTAGGATATTAATGTGATGCAATAAAAAATATTAAGTAATGCATATATAATATATTTTCTTTTAAATCAATGAAAAAAAAATATTTTTTTAGGACTTGAATTATTCGCAGTAAGTCGTAGCACCAATCAAACAAACAGTTTCACCTCCATTAATGATTTTCCATGTAAAATAGTCGTATTCCCGTTTTATAGTCCTTATTGTATTGCCAGCAACTTGGTGTAATTGCCACGTTTGGACGTTAACTGCTCAATACTGTTTTTAACTCATAGCGGCAGAACGCAAGTAGCACAAATTATCGCAGTTTTATTTACCAGTTTAGTTAGCGGTAGTAATTGTTAATTATAGCAATATTGTTCGAATATAGAGAGTTGGATAAATAAAAAGAAGCTAACAATCTGCTTTTTTCTATACGCACTCACAAGTCACAAGCTCCGGAAAAATGCGATGACCTTAATTTGGCCAGTGCATAATTTCTTCAGATACGCACCTAATTATTTTTTGTTTGTTTGTTAATTATGCTTAGAGGGAGAAGTATTTAATTATTGTACTTTCAGGATTCATGGTTGGCCATGTAAATCTGGGAAGTACGTTGACAACTTAATGAAAATCCCTATATACTTCATCGATATTATTTCGAGATTTAAATTACACGTCAAAAGCACCATTCTGTCGCAGGATGTTAAAATTTACATTGAAAATTCATTACAAATGCATTTGTTTGCTCGCATTTAGTTGTATACCTACTCTGACAAAACTGCGATTTGTCTGAATATTTGGAAAAGGCAATTTACAATTAAATCTTCATACAGTTAGGTATACTTTATTATAGTTAGAAAAATTAGAACCAAAGTAAAAGTATGTGTAAAATATCAATCGAGAATGGGACACTCACCATATTGATATACATTGCATGTTTTGGCAAGTGGACTCTTTCTTATCTGTTATTGATTTGTCATTTATCTGTCATTGATTTGTCATTAATCTGTCATTGAACACAAAACACCTTTTTCAATAAGCCGGCATAAAAAAAGCTTACTCATCTTAGAGTTTTATTTACATTTAAAAAGCTCATTTATAAAATATGTATAAGTAGTGTATTAATAACAAATTGTTACCTAATGAATATAAAAAATCACTACTAAAAAATACTATTAAGATATATGAATATGTCACCTGTCAAAAACTGATATGATATTGACATGTACTGTACCATATGATTTAGATATCTATGAGTTACCTATGGTTCTAAATTAATAATACCTTGTAATTATCTACTCATTCAAATAGCAATTAGTTAAAAAATAGAATCAAAACTTACCTAATTGTTATAAAAAACACAAGTAAAGTAAACTATTATGTGACCTGTCAAAAATCGATGTGACATTGACATATACTCCACCATGATCTATCTATCTATGAGTTAGCACCAACGGTGTTAAATCAAGCAGACCTTGTATTATCTACTCATTCAAACAGCAATTAGATAAAAAATAGAATTATAATTTACCTAATGATTATAAAAAATATAAGAGTAAGGTATACGAATAATTCACCAATCAAAAATCGATGTCACATTGACATGTACTGTACCACGATCTAGATATCTATGAATTAACCACCAATGGTGCTAAATTAAGGATACCTTGTACCTACTCATTCATATAGCAATTAGTAAAACAAAAATAGAATTAAAATTCCTCGGGTCTCACACTCGAGCGAACCTCGTATAGCGCAAGAACTCTTCTTCACGAGAAACCTCCAAGTAACCCTCGCGTACTCTTCTTCATCTTCATCTCCCAACATCTCGGTGTACCGTTGCCGCGGTGACGTAGCTCGACCCATCATACACACAGTCCTGTAATCTAACTGGTCTCCAGGTGTACCGCTAACCCGCCGGAATCCGTTAAGCGTCAGTGTCAGTGACCTTTGGTGGCTCCTCACCTGGCCAAGCTGTATACTATGGCCACAGTCAGTGGTACACCGTGCGACAACAGGTGCCTTTCTCCACTCTTCTGAGGACACCTACCCTCCTCGTGCGTGGATCGCCTGACCCCTTCGCGGTGGAAAACTCACTCCGTCCGGGCGAGGGTTTTCGCGCCAAAACGGACAGTCCGGATTCGAATTTTCTCGGGATATTTCGACGTGCGGATTGTGCTGGTGACTTGTGAGATTTTTTTGCTTTGTTTTTTTTTTGGATCTTTGTGTGCGCACAGATTTTCTTTTTTTGGATACGGATTTTCTCGGAAAATACTCCACGGAGTAAGTAAAAATTTTATCACTTTTGAACCGAAAATTGCACCGTAATTTTTTAATAAAAATTTGTTGCTTTTTCAATAATTGGTAGGTTTTTTCAAAATCATATATGTTTGGTGGAAGAAATAAAACCCATTCAATATTTCAAATATTTTCTCAACATTTTGACATCTTCAAAAAATTTATCAATAATTATTGTCTTATAAAAACTTATACCTACTATTAACACAATTTCATTATATTCATACAACTGACTAAATTCACATGGTATATGCCTTAATAAATTTCCTAAACAGATCTTTGAGTTTATTTCTTTTTCAAGAATAAACTACAAAGATATAACTTTAATATTTCACTGTAACATTCATTCTTTTACTTTTTTTAACTTCCTAGTAGGTACAGGTATTGGTAAAGAGGAAGAAAATTAAACCAGACATTTTTATGTCTTTTGTCCAACCAAATTATAAAATAGAATAATTTAATAAGTATATAAAAGTAGGTAAGTCCTATTGCCTTCTAACAGTTGAAGATGAATCATCATTTCAAACGATCGAAAGTAAATAAGTATCTTAAATCTGCTATTAGTACTTAAACTTCGCTTTGAAGTCGCAAGAAACATTTAATTGTATTGACCTGCTGGACTAATCACTCGCGCTAATCGGATTTATTTTCATCAATCGGGCAATCAAAGAGGCGGAACAATAAAATTTAAAAACGTTCTTCTGTTTGCTATTTTCAGTTCTCTCTTCGAACCGATCGAATTCTTCTTCGATATTTTAATGCACGCGATTTCTAATGCAGAGTTGCACTTTGGCGATTGTTAAACCACGAGTTTCGGAGGTGCAAGGGTCCGGGAATTTTGCTTCTCTAATCATTTAATGTATCGATAATCGGCAAAACTCGCGCCATCGAAGTTGTGAGGTCAGCGTCTTTCGTAACGAACCGACGTTTGAATGCGAAATCGATTTGCCAACCGTGAAATTCCTAATTTTTTATAATCGTAGGCATCGCCCGATGGACTTAACTACGAAATTTTACTTCTTTACTGTGCGTATATTGTCAATTTCTAATGTTTCTTGCCGATCGAAACTTTTTGCGAGAAGAGATACCACTTTCCAATTCAAATCGCTGTTTCTAAATGGTAAATTTTCGTGGAACTTTTACGCGTACACGTGCAAATGGACGTGTCAATATACATGTTCGCCAAATTAAGAAAGGTCCTCACATTATTAATGAATATAGAAAGCCGATTTGGATACATAGAGAAAGTTAAAGACTTCCCGATCGTTCCACGGTGTAAATTCTCTTTTTCGGCATCGCTTACGAGCCATATTTAACAAAAGAAACGTATAATTAAACGCGGTGCCTAACGAAAAAAGAGTAATAAACCGAGCCGCGTATAACCTATTCTCGTTGGGATATAAAAGACAATAATTAAAGTGGTTAAAAAGATGAACTGTTTGTGTATAATGCACCTCTCAAAAGGACGATACATTCCACTGAAAAAGTTCATAGACCTCTTCGGTACAAGGCCGGCTTTCTTGATCTTATCACATTCGTGTTTAAACAAAGAAGTGATTGGAAAACCGACAATTTTGCCGCAATTGTTATAAAATATTGTAAATGTGATCTCTGAATTTATGAATAATAAAATAATCTCTATTGTTTGCTAGAAGTGAGTTGAAACTCCGAATCAAATCGACGATTTACATTTCATACTGCAAGGTCCAATTACAATTATTATTCTTTCAGAGATGTGAGATGCGAAAATCGGTGGTAATAACATCGAATTAATTGTTATAATATTATTTATTTTGAGGAAATGCTGTTACGAAACTAAATTAATTTTATTGTGGTGTTTTATGTAACTTTTAGCACGAGATTAGTAGAGATATCAGATGAAAAGTAATTATTAATTTCAGATGAAATTTTATTTCTTTGTAAACAGATCTATTAACTTTTGTTAAATTTGGAAAATAGTATTGCAAAGTCTTTACTGAGCCCATTAAGAGTTCTCTCCCCGAATTACATACACCTAGAAAATCTATCTTTGCAAATTATTGAAAATATTTTCAATTTTCATTAATTTATTATGTACTGTATATTATTTCTCCTTTTATTTCAGTATTCAATTTTGAAATATTCTAGGAAAAGCCAGACAAAAGATATTTACTGGTATAGATACTTTTAATTGTTGTACTGTAATAAATTAAATCGATAAAAAACTACCTAAAAGAATAACGTATCACCATAAAAATTAAATAAAGCTAAAAATCAATTAACCAGTTGAAATTTTATATGAAAAAAATTATTACACACTTAATTTGTGCTATCAGCATATTATTAGGTAATGCCAGTTATTTCCTTTTAGTTAGCTACAAAATAAACTAATACCTATCATATTTTAAAAATAAAATTCTAATATTTGATATGTTTGAACTACACCAGGACTTTCAAATAAAATGATCATTCTCGTAAAGTATCCACAATTATTATTAAGCAGGTAAATGTATTAATAATAGATGCATTAGACAAAACAGTTGTGGACAGAGCAATTAATTTACTTGATAGGTAGTTCCTTACGGCGATTAGCCACGTTGAGATCTTAATAAAATCCTCATTTAAAACTAATGGCAAGTTAAACAGTTGATGAAGAAACAGTTAGGAAACTTAGCTTATTAATACAAATTATAGGTATTTAGGCATAAAAGATTGTAAATGGGTAAAAATGACTTGGTGAAATATTTATTTCCTTTCTCCCGGTTAGATTGGTTATGTGTAGGTATACATTAAATTATTATTGATTGATTTTCTTATATTTTCTCCCTTTACCTAACATGCCTATCCAATAATGGTTTTTATATTGAAGATAAATCAATAAAGCAACAACGAATTACGCTTGTTGATTAGCTTTGTTGTGTTCTGCTAACGCCACACAAATTTACAGTAAATTGCTTAAGACTATAATTTTAGCAATCGATAATAATTCGCTGTATAGCCGTTTCGGTGTCATTGACATTCATATTGTTAAAAAAAATAAAATAATATTTACTGTTATCCAATAAACCCGACAATATGCTATAAAAATGTTTCTTTTTACATGCAAGTTTCGGTCGGTAATTTATTGTTAAGGAGTAGTTGGAGCTTATTTCATTATCTCAGTATATCATATATTTAATTAATTGTACTGTCGAATTTTATGTACTTGAACTTTAGACGGTTGTGCAAATATAATAATTTATTGTTGAAGTAATTGTAGAGAGAAAAGCGACTGTTTTTGAAATATTTACTCAATTCTCGGGTTGTACATTCGACACATTTCAAATTCCTCTTTTTCTTGTTATGATTCAGCTCACTATAAGAGCTCTGGATCATTCATATAATAAGAAAAGATACCTGTACCTATTGAATTAAAATTTGTAATAAGAAATTTACCAAGCCCATACACTGCATGAATCAAATAATGTGCAAATATTTGCTCATCGGTAATTCATTTAACAGTTGTTGTATCCACATAATTTGTTTTACACGTCTTTTTTAGGTAACCCGGACTTCGATGGATTTCCGTGCGAGGACCGAACGATCGTAACGGGAAACATGTTTCGTGTAATATTCGGCACTTGCAAGAAAAAAAAAGTGTAGAAAATTCCGGTCGAAAAATAGTTTCGTTCGTTTCCACGGCCAACAATTCGCTGTACCTATGGATTTTGGATAATATTGGATAACGTTGGACAAATTTCTTTTAATCGGGATCAAGACTATGATACGATGCCCAGCACTATCAGAGGTGAGTACCGCCGAATTTCCCACAGTTCACTAACATCATCGACGAAACCGGAGGCAATTAAAATTAATTTTACATTATTTACAATTATTATCTCCGATACCGTTTTCTTTTTCGGCACGGGTGCGTTCAACTCGGCTGAAATATTAAACGCCGGCTCGCTTTAAGGAACTATTAATTTTTCAAGGAAAATCGAACATAGTTCTGCGCCTCTAACGGGGTTGAAAAATGCCGGAAGTGCGTGGAAACCGAGTCCGTCGAACTCCTGAAAATTTACAATAAAGGATGTTTAAGTGCGAGAGCGCGAAAGGTCGGCGACCGGCCAATCAACCGCCGAAATTATAGTGCCCAGCTTTTCGTTGTTGAGTCTTGACTTGAGTCTACACTTGTAACGGCCAACGAATGAGAACCGACAAGAAGTTAAGGCTATTGGGCAACACCGATGCCATTACGCTATCTGCAAATAATTAAATTTAATTTAGATAACATCATACAGCATGGATATATCCCCCTTCTTGAGCTAACGATGGAACTATTTGACCTTTAGATCCTTTAACTCTATTGGGTTCGAATTAATTTTTACTCCTTGCCTATATTATCTATTTTTTACAGTTTAAAAAATGTTTATGAATCTTCTCAATTAGCTCTCCAAAAAAAGTTTAATAATTAGAAATCATTAGGAAATATTTTACACCAGGAAACGACTTTTGATTTTGACTGTAGATGTATTGAATAAGATCACAGATATCTACTATACTGGTCTCCTAGATGTTATAAAAGAGGGTTTTTCTGAAAATTTAATCATCCTATAAGTACTTAAAAAAATAAGACTTGTAGGAGACTTATAATTATAAAATCTCTTATGATTTTTTGTCTTAAAACCAATCCAAGAATTACTACTCGTACCTTAATAATCACCAAAGAAATTAAAGTAAATACAGACTTAAAAATGTAAGACAATTCCTCTTGTGCAAGAAATTACAATTTCTTTGATAGTGCAGAGGACATAGACTCGAAGATAGCAGATAACGAACTGCTAATGAGAACGAAAAATTAATAATAAAAATAGTTTAAGCGTTTTCCCGGGCTTATCAATCCGGCGATTTGCATATTTATGCTAATGAAGCCGTTTCTGCAATGTCCGAAGTAATTTACGTTCGCCCCGTTATCGGGGAAAATCATCGAGCTGAAGTGATAAGAAGAAAAACCGTTGACCCCGTCTGCCTTAGCACACCCGCTATGTTTTATACATTCGCCGATAAAAAATTCGCAGGTTTTTCGGGCTGAATTAATACCCGTCTGGCACGAGCATTCCAAATGCCCTCTTACCGAAATGAAATTAGCGACTCAATCAACTTTTATACCAAAACTGCTTATCTGTAATTTAATTTACTCGATGAAATTTAAACTTAAAAAGCGTACGATAGAAAGTCCTGCACGCACGCAGGACGTACGGTGTATTAGCTCCTCTTTGTCTCTCCAATCGCTGGTAAATGTAGAGGAGTACACGGGAATCCTGCAGCATCAGGAAGAAGAATAAAATGCGTTCCACGGAACGCGCGATCGAAATAAGGATTCGTATCCTTGCGGCGCAAGCGTCCTTGCGAAGCCCAAATCACACCGCTATAAACTTACGATTGATGTCCTTTTTGGGTCCTGTATGTAAAAATTCAATAATGCTAATTATTGTTGCTAATTTTCCTAGTGGGAGATTCATAGATATGATACTAGAATATTATTCAACGATTTAATTAGATGATTTTTTTTGAAGTCCTTATAAATTATCCTGTAGTGTACTAGGATACTTGGTTTTAATCATGTACTTCATTGAAGTAAATATTACATGTAGTTTAAAATAAGGTACAAATGGTTATTTTAAAATAAATTTGGGATTGATTAGAGTGTAGATTGTGTAGAATAGGATTTTCCGCTGGTGAGCAGGAATTTTCCGGCTGTGAACGTTGCTCGCTCCGTCATCCCCTAGCGGCGAAAACTGAAATCAAACTGCATCGTTTCTAAAACAGAAACTCGAAATAATAAAATCGTTTAGGCCTCGAAGAAACGCGAAAAAGGCCAATAATATACTAAAACAAAGGTGCAAATGACCGTTTTAATAATAAGTGCATGGAAAATTCGGAAAAATCGTTTGGAAAATACAGACCTAGTTTCTTGTTCTTCTAACCTGCATTTTAATCGATTGAAAAAATATTGATCTTAACTAGAGTGTTAACCTAAAACCGTTGGAAAAAGAGAATCCCATGTGTTCTTCTACATAAAGTGTTAAGATGTGCAGTTTTTCTGGTTATATTATTTCTTATACATACGAAGGGAAAATATACCTTCATAGAGGCCTTTATTAAAATTTTTTGTTTTCGTCTCGAGAATAATTTCATAGCAATACAGTAAATTTAATAAATTTTTAAAAGACTGTTCTATAATTCGACTGACTTTGACTGAAAAAAATACATCGGTTCGACTGAAATTTACAACAAATTTTCACGCGGTTTATCGTTTCGGTATTCAATGGAGTCTCGACGATTTTTTTCGTGTTTGGTGTTTTATACAACAGATTTTTTCTAAAAATTTGTATTCGTCGTTTTGAGATATAAGCGCCTCGATTTTTGTACAGTTGGGAAACCTATTACCAAAAAGGTACGTTATCATCAAATTAAAATTACCCTCAAATCTTTCGTTTGTTGGGCGATTAATAAAGTAGATATACATTTTACGTTATAGCTTCTTTTGTTGTGAAATAATTTTGATAAAATCGCTTGTTAGTGTTTCTATTGATCAGTGGCAATATTTCACTTGAGAACTGTTAAATACTGGTAGAATTCGTCAGTAAAACAAATCAATGATGTGTATCTTCTCTGCGGAATATTCGGAAGTAGGTTTCTAAATGTCATTCAACTATGGTTGCCTGGATGATATTACTAAAATCATTATTCAAACTATATTTATTTCGTTTTTTTTAGACTACATAATTTTGTTCATGTGTTATTTGTAATTTGTTTTGTACTGCAGGTACTACAAGACATAAAAATAACCTATTTTTTAGATAAAAGATACCAACTTTTTATCTTATTTTCAAACTTCATTTAAAATTGTATATTAACTAAGAAATTCAAAGTAGTACTATTCCAAAATAAATCCCCAACAAACCAGAAAAAAAGGGTACCCAAAACCTCTAGAAATTTTCAATCGATTAAAACGCCATTACGCTCAGTTAAATTTAGGTAGACCTCTTGCGGTACTACAATCAATTTCGTGCTTAAAAACCGTCACAAACCACGGCTACAAAATTTCCTCAACGGGGTTAATCATTAAAAAAGTGAAGCTGGCCGGTCAAGAGATCATCACCATCGAGCTACAGGAGGTGGAGGATGCATCCGTCGTGCCAGTCGTCGCCGCTGCCGTTTCGGAACCCTCTCCACCTCCTGCGCCGCCGGCCGCCGTACCGGCGAGTACCAGCGAAACCCGTCTCGATGTTACGCCCACCTCCACGGCTACCCAGAGACCTACGCCTTCGACGTCGCCGCCGAACACCATGACAGGTAATCTATTTACCTCTAAAAACCCTTGGTACTACCTTCCTATGGTGCCGCTCATCTATACAACTGTGATACTAATCTTCAACGAGTAGATGCTCGATTTGGAGGAGACTTTTTTGGTGTTATTTCATAGGTATTATTGTGGTACTTAAATTTAATAGTAGAGGAAGTGCGCCATATATGGACCACCATTAGCACTTTTTTCAATAAAAAGTCGATTTTTAAATTTTAATTTGCTTTGTTTATATTAAACAATTCCTTAACAATGTAGTTAAGAAAAACACAATAAAATTCTCCAAAAAAAAAAAAAAACAAAAAAAACATTTTGAAATAAATAACATTTTCTAAAGTATATAATTTTTATGAACTTTCAAAAAGTGAACATAATATGGACCACATCCAGATTTTTCCACTTCTAGAATGTAATTGACTAATTCATCTTCCAATTCACTCGGTAATGTTGATTATCACCCAAGTTTTTAGGTGGAGATATCATTAGATGATTTGTTTTGGGTGTATGTTTTGGAAGCATTCAAAAAGCCCATTTTCTTTTCTCGTGCATTTTGAATTGCCTCCGCCATTGCGTTTCTTATCCAATGCTTGTCTGGTCTTCTCTACTGCTTTAGAAGCCATTCCAGAACATAAAAATTAATTTTTAGCCTCTCCATATTTAAAACGTGCCACTGGTCCATATTGAGATAATTGCAACATGACTCACCTTCCTCGTGGTCTTATCCACTTTCACATAAAATAGTATTTTTTGGATTAGGAAACTTCCAAAGTTCGCTAGAAAATTAGATCGCTTGTTGCAGAAAACTAAAAAAAGCTGTCGTAAATATATGCCTGCATCCTGGATCACTGCAAAAGGCAAATGGTCAAGGAAGGAGTGATGCTTAGTATGTGATGATCATTTACTCGATATAAAGCACATTCTTTTTAAAATGGCGGTGGTCCATATTGTAAGACCGGTCCATATTTGGCGCACTTACTCTACCTACTCAAATTATGATGAATAATGGAAATTATGATGGATCCTATTTGCCTAATTGAATTTAGGTAATACTTTACCACGCTTTAGTAGTGTATTGACTCAAAAATATTCGGTCATATTTGGTTGTAATTGGTCGTACCTTCATATGGTAGTACTCGAAGTAATTACGGTACTCCTAACGTCTTTAATTTTCACCAAATATGCTCGATTCTTATATTAGTTTCATGCTTAATTTTGACCGCACCTTTCCGAATTTTACCAGCTATTTTCCTACAAAGTGCTGCAGCAAGACCAGAAATTTCTTAAAATAACCCTACCTACATCTACGATAGTTATCGACCAAAAAGTAGGCCGCGAATTATCGGTACTATCTCGCGAATATGGCCATTATCAGTACGCAGACGGCGACCTACAACCGATCTGTTACGTCGCTTTAATTCCCGCAACGGATCCTCGATATCTTCGGCGAAGCGGCCGCATCGCCATCGGCCGCCCGGTAAGGCTTCGATACGTGCGTACGTGAACGTTGGGAATAGCGGTACCTCGGCTCAAAGCCTCACTGGGTTACCAGCACCTTGTCGGTGAAATTACAGTTAGGGGGTTCCGTTATGTTGTATAACATGACTTGAAGGCGCGCCTCGATAGCCGGCGCACTGTGGTACGACAAGGCGCTTCAAGCGGCCCGAATTCGGTACCACCCGAGGTGGATTCTTCTCGCTTTGGATTGCTCGAACTGCTGCAACTGATTTTTATGAAACACACGCAAATATTTCCTTTGGATTTCTTTAAAGTAAATATTGTATAGCGGTTTGGTCCGGCTTTTGTGGCGGTTGGTACTCGCCGAGCGGTCTTCTCCTTTGGGCTTTAGCGCGTCTTTGATGGTCCTCTTCGTCTGACTCACGCCGGTTTTAGCGGTTTTCGTTTGGAGCACAGTGACCTTGTGAGAACGGGAACTTTTAATGGATATGCGGCTTGACCCCAACGCCTGTTGCATATTAAAATTTGTAGGACGGTTGTAATTATTATTAGCACCGTCGTGTCACCGGATTTTTTACCAGTTTGTTCTCTTCTCGCCGCCGCGCCAGCCCCAGCGCGCGTGTCGAAGGTTTGTTTAATAATGGTCCGTTAATTTGAACTGAATGATTAGATGGTAGATAATCATTGGAGGTTTTTTTAAGGTGGAATTATTGCGAATCTGGGCACGCATCGGGCCGCTCCCTCGAACGTTTAATCATTCTCCTTGAGGCTTTATCTTTATAGTGTGTGGTGAAAAATATTCGCAGTCTTTTGGGATCGACCCGCATCACGATGTGTATCATGGGATGTGCTTCTTTATATTCACTGCAAAGCGGGCGATCGCTCGCTTTTTAATCAACCTTTATCAATAAATGTCTAGGGTTTTTTTGTGTATGGATAAAATAATTGGTAAAAGAATATCGAAGGGCTGGTGAATGTATGATGAAATATGTCGATTAGAGTAGTATACATTTTGATGGTTTTGAATGGTTTTTCTATTATTTCATCTACTTTATAAATATATTTAAAAGATTTTAGATGTTTTTTGGATCGTTTTTCCAGTTTTTCGCAATTATGTTATGATTTTTTTTTTAAATGGGGTTTATGAAGCATATTTAGATAATGTTTTCATTACCTAAAAATTTTCAATTCGATAAAACTTACTTTTTGTACAGGTTCAAGGAACTTTAATTTTTCTTAAAAACGAACATAAAAGTGCTCTTTATTAATTAAAAAAATCTAAAATGATGCTTAATTAATTAGAAACATATGGCTTAAGAAGTTGTTAATTAATGAAAAAAGATTAAATAATGTTCTTGCTAATTAGAAAAAGTGATTTATAAAACATTTAGCCGATTCCAAATGTTTATAAAATGCTTAAAAATGTCTTTAAAAATCAAAGTTAATCATAAATTTGCAAAAACATCTAAATTTTCAATGAAAACCATTTACCGCTTCTTATTCCAAGAAAAAAAATCATCCATAAAATGATTGCTTTTAGCTGATGAAGCTTTTTTGCTCAAGGTTACCAGATTTAACCCTTACGGTTTTTAACAAAAAATAACCCTATGTTCAACCCCCAATGAGCCCCATGTTTACCAGATTTAACCCCTAAGGTTTTTAAGGAATGAATAAGCAAATTTCGTGAGTTTATAACGCAAAGAATGAGCCCCAACTTTACCAAATTTAACCCTTAGGGTTTTTTTAACAAAAACGAGCTCCATGTTGAGCCCCACGTTTACCACATTCAACCCCTAGAGTTTCTAAAGAAAGAAGGAAATTTCTCGAATTTTTAACGCAAAAAATAAGCCCCCAGATATTTAAACCTTTGAATTTTTTTTAACAAAAAACGAGCCCCGTATTGAACTCCCAATGAACCCCACTTTAACCAGATTTAACTCGTACAATTCCTAACAAAATCGAGCCTCATTTTAAGCCCCACGTTTACCACATTCAACCCCTAGAGTTTCTAAAGAAAGAAGGAAATTTCTCGAATTTTTAACGCAAAGAATAAGCCCCCAGATATTTAACCCTTAGAGTTTTTTTTAACAAAAAACGAGCCCCGTATTGAACTCCCAATGAACCCCACTTTAACCAGATTTAACTCGTACAATTCCTAACAAAATCAAGCCTCATTTTAAGCCCCACGTTTACCACATTCAACCCTTAAAATTTTTAACGAAAGTAGTAAATTTCTCGAGATAGTTAACGCAAAGAATGAGCCCCACGTCGACCAGATTTAACCCTATGGATTTTTTTCAAAAAAACCCGCCATATTATCGCCTCGTTTAGAACAAATCCGAGCACCCGGTCGGGCAACGGGACCATCGGGCGTAAGCTTCGCCCCCGGCGCGTCCCAACGCACCGGCTGGAACGTCAAACGAACGCCGCGATTACGGAGTTAGCAACGTCCGCAGTCATTGCGCCCGTGACGTAAGGCGCTTCCGCGTACGTCATCCGGGTCAATAAACCGCCTTGAAAGGTCGCGAGGTCGCGTCTGAGCTTCGTCTACCCGACGCTGGTCGGCGCTGCCGTCGGCTTTTTTGCTTTTCTCGCGTTATCAATTCGGATTTCCATCGCGGTTGCAGACGCGGCCGGCCGGCCTTTTTCGGGTGATAACCGGCGCGGCGGTGTGGCCGGTAGCGGTTCGTTTTGTAATTATAATGAAAGTATTATAATCGCTCGAAACTGTAGCGGTTTCGGTTCGACCGTGGCGGGTTTGAAGGTGTCGGTCTACCGCCCTAACTCATAGTATGAGGTCTACCAGTAACGCGTTTGTATTAGGCGGTCTAACATTAATTAACTACATTAATGTACAGTGGGTTCCTCTAATAGAGTTGATGAGAGGAGTAATTTAATTTTATGAAGAAAAGTCATTCTTTATAAAAAGGTCTGCTTGTCGAAAAAATAAATCTGCCGTATTAAAATCTAGAATCTGTTGTACAGATGGTAGCTGAAGTAAAGAGAGAAAATACTAGATATTATTAAACATTTTCAGAGCAAAATTTGTTAGCAATATACTAACTTTTATACTTTATCTCTAATAATACGAACTTTTTTATTATTACAATTATTAAACTAATTTGTTTTTACTGATTTTACTATTTTGCTGTTTTTTACTGACTTTTCATTTTTATTGAAATCATCTCGTCGAAGAGATTGCATAAAAAATTCTAAAATATATTGTATTTAAAAAAAAACACAATTTTTACGAGTACCTGTATGTTTTTGGTAAAATATTCTGTATAATCAAAACTATATTTCATCATTTATAGATTGTTTAAATACAGGGTGTTAATTAATTGAATGCCGATACTTCAGGATGGGAATATTTGGATGATTTTAAGAAGAAAAGTTTGTATCAATGTATGTCCTAAACTTCTTCGTTTTTGAGCTATAGGGTGTTAAAATTAAAAAAAACTTTTTATCTAAATTATTACTCCAGATATTTTTATGCAATTTCGGACGTCACTGGTAATAGTAGAAAATTAATTTTTGTCCCAAAAAAAGTGTTTCCATGCATGGTGGGCGCCTAATAAATTTCAATAAAATATCAAAAGCAGTCTCAAAATGAACTTAATTTAA